TTTCGATTCCGAGTGTCCGAGGATCCCACATTTACGTTCATAACAATTATATTATCGCGATCAGAATATTAATCACATGTACGCATCGAAATGCCTTTAGAACAATTCGCGACATCTCCCGGCGCGCCGCGTCATCACGTGCTTCGCGAAGTGAGCGGAAAGTGTCACGGCGGAGAGACACTCTTGCGCGCCATTGACGGTTACGCGGATAGTCTCGGTACCAAAATATCTCAAGCAACGACCGCCGCCAACTCCCCTACAATTTGAATCGCCGATTTCGAAAAATTCGCGGACACTTTTTCCAATACTCGAGCACGCCTGGAGATGCTGAAGCACTCCCGAAGCTCCTCGTCGAGCGGATAATGCCGAAACGCTACCCGAGAACCACTGTATACGTCAAAATATAATCGAAATGTAGTCGAAAAATGGTATCTCAAGCGACAGTAAGGGGTCCCCGTCGACGCCCAGATGTTCTTCTGGAAGATTATTCGGGTCCAAACGCGACACTCCCGGACTTGCACTCCCGTTTATTTGCAATATTCGCATACGAAATCAGACGAAAATCGCGGGAGCTTGTTCGCGCACGAATAAAACCGACGCATCACTGCTTTTTTCAAGGAATTATCGGAGGGCCTCATCGAACGATGATGGCGACTTCCCCGCGACGCACTGAGAAGTCGCCGATATTCCAGAATTGGGCACGACGATCGCGACGTATACCGAGAACTCGACGACCGACGACCTACACTCTGCACGTCCAGAACGAGACTGACTCGCACGCTACGCGTCGCGGGGACTGATCCCAATAGCCAATCACGAGGCTCCGTACGTATGGAGTCTCGTGATTGGTGCGCCGTAGGGTGCGCCAATCTGTATATAAGAGCGCGTTAAACGATAGACCGGACAGATGCTTCTTGATGTTCTGATGTGACGGTCGGCGGAGGACGCTGCTTGATTAAATTGTATTATGAAGATTTTTAAAAATAAATAGATAATATACACATTTATACATATAGCTATTGTATTATTTCAAAATGTATTTGAATTTTTATTCCATTAATTATTCGTATATAATTATATGATTATGTACGAATAAATAATGAATAGATAAATAAGAATAGATAATATACATATAGCTATTATATTATGTCAAAACGTATTTGAGTTTCATATTAATTATTTATTCGTATATAATCATATAATTATATACGAATAAATAACGAAATAAGAAACTCAAAAATTCATGTGTGTATATTTTGAAATAATAAAGTAACTGTATGTATAATTAAATGTATTTTAGCTATATATTTTTAAAAATCTATATAATCATATGATTATATACGAATAAATAATAAAATAAGAAACTCAAATACGTTTTGAAATAATATAATAGCTATATGTATATAATTAAATGTATATTATCTATTCTTATTTTATTTATCTATATTATCTATTTTTATTTCATTATCTATTCTTATTCCATTAGTTATTCGTACATAATCATATAATTATATACGAATAAGTAATAAAATAAAAAACTCAAATACATTTTGAAATAATGTAATAGCTATATATATAAATGTATATTATCTATTTATTTTGAAAAATCTTCATAATGCAATTTAATCAAGTAGCGTCGTCCGCTGACCATCGCATCAGAACATCAAGAAGCATCTGTCCGGTCTGTCGTTCAACGCAGCTCTTATATACAGATTGGCGCACCCTACGGCGCACCAATCACGAGGCTCCGTTCGTATGGAGCCTCGTGATTGGTGCGCCGTAGGGTGCGCCAATCTGTATATAAGAGCTGCGTTGAACGACAGACCGGACAGATGCTTCTTGATGTTCTGATGCGATGGTCAGCGGACGACGCTACTTGATTAAATTGCATTATGAAGATTTTTAAAAATAAATAAATAATATACATTTATATATTTAGGATCAGTCTCCCTCAACGGCCGCGACACGTGGCGTGCGAGTCAGTCTCGTTCTAGACGTGCAGGGCGTAGGTTGTCGAGTTCTCGGTCTTCGCGTACGCCGCGATCGTCGTGTAATGCCCAATTCTAGAATATCAGCGACTCCTGAGTGGATCGCGAGGAAGTCGCCATCATCGTTCGATGAGGCCCTCCGATAATTAGTCTTTATAAAAGCAGTGATGCGTCTGTTTTATTCGTGCGCGACATATATTGTCATTAAAGTATAAAATCTGTTAAAGTGGATACAGAATTGCACAAGTCGGAATTCAAACGTGACAAAATATACAGATAAAGATATAAATAAATAACAATAAAAAGTGCAATATATATAAATGATAAATCCAATTAATTTCCGCGTATACGTTTTACATTATATCTCATTGTCAGCTCTATGTAAGTCTTATTATAAGCTTGTACAAAATTTTTTACTTGAGAGAACTTCTAAAAAATATAATTGACATTCTTCTCTTTAAATTATTACTATAAATTAATCTAATTAAAAAAAATTATAATATATATAATACATATATTAATATAAATATTATATGTATACATATATGTAAAATATTAATAAACCATAAAATATGTTAAAGTGAACGCAGAATTGCACAAGTCGGAATTGAAACGTGACAAAAAATAAAATAAAATATAAATATAAATAAATAAATGTGTGTGATAAATCCAATTATACTTTTCGTGTATACGTTTTACATTATATCTATCGTACAAATCTATCATAATTTCGCTGTTATTTTTCCCTCCCTGTTATCCGCGAAAGAATTCCGATCCCGGTTGTTATTAGCGATAGAAGAAGGGCCGGAGAGATGCAAAAGAATAGTTGGCGGTCGCTTGATAGCGGCGGCAACGGATACTTAAACGTCTACGAAGGAGGGGCTCCGTCATCGCACAGGATACAAGAGGGAGGGTATATATATCTCTCCCAGATATATATAAACAGACCTGAAGAGGCACCTGAGAGGAAGGAGAAGGAAGGGTTCGGATGTGGAAATTGCGTGGAAGATGCCCAGGGAGGATGCAAGACAGGTACCCTTCTTCCCTAACTCTTATTCTCATCCCCCCAAAAAAGGAGCAAACCAGGCCAGGAGATGAGGCCTCGCACAAAGGATTTTACTATCTTTTTCTCTCCTCAAACTTAAATATAACGGCCAGTCAAATACAATTGTGGAATCGTGACAAGTCGGGACACCTTGTATATCTGGATGATGTCGAAAGTGAAAGTATCGGAAGAGTAAAGTATACGATAGTTTGGTATTAGTGACATATTAGCCCGGTATATATACAGTGTCCTAAAAATCTTTCTTCTTTTAAGAAGGAACATGCAGGGTGTCCCTGTCACGTGATTCGCGAATTTCGAGATATTCTCTGTGCTTTATAATTTCTTTAAAAATAAATTTAAAAATTCGGATAATGTAGCACAGAAAAAAATTAGCTACAATAGCTAAATTTTTGCTATCCTTATATTACATATAAAATTTAGTTATCACATTAAAATTTTAGCTACACAGATTTTTTTCCTTAGAATTTACCCTGAAAATCATGATACTCGTGCGACAATATGAAAGAATTTCTCTGATTAATATATTTTTACCACAATAAAAATATTAATATCTACTACAATAAAAAATAAAATAAATTCGATTAATTTTACTACATATTAATATTTTTTATTGTGGTAATTATTAATCAAAGAAACTTATAAAATTCTTCCAATATATCATATTGTCCTAAGATTATATATGATTTTTATTTTAAGATAAAATTCTCTTTGTGCGTGTATGGTAGCTAATATTTTTAAATAAAATTCTTAAACTATAACTATAAAAAAATATTAGTTACCATAGTCGAAATTTAGGCACGATAATTAAATTTGTACGATAGAAACAGCTATGAAAGCTTTTTTTCCATGAAAGAATATAATTTCATTGCAGTTTTTATTTCTATTTTTAATATTTCTGATACATAAATTCTTCTTAAATAAAAAAATGTAAATATACACTTGCAGTCTTTTTACGTCAAATCTTCAAATGTTTCACGTACGAAAACACGTTTTCGCTCCGTTATTCAAGAATCCGATTTAAGATGTAAGCTATCGAAAATTGGGGTATCGATATTCCTATCGTTTCGCGAAATGTCAAACGGCGTAAATCGGGATAAAAATCGTCGAGAAGAGAAGATTGAAGATTGGCATTTATAAGTTCCCCTTATAGACAGACGTTCATTGTTCACATCGCGATCTTAGTTAGCAAATTATTAGGATGTTTTTAGTTATTTGGGGTAATGTCCTGACCGGGTCACCGGTCGGTGGGTTTAATACCGTGCTGAAACTACGTCAGAGATGCCAATGACGTCACACTATCGCCTTTTAATTTCCAGAATTGCAGCGCGTGCGCCGTTCTTGGCTCAATCGTTGAGCTTGACCGTAGATCGATTCGAGAATTAGGTAACATTTATAATAAACAGAGAGAATTATACGTCAACACACACATTTGAATAACTAAAGTAGGGTTTTGTCCGTGTTCTTTAATTTAAAATTCATGAGAGAAATTTCTAGCAATCTAATCTATGTACATTAGCGGTGTAAATCGGGATAAAAATCGTCGAGAAGTATGAAAAAATAGGTATTTCCATCCATAAATAACTATAAAATAATTCCATCATAAATAAAGCAATCAACTAATATCGAATTATTATGGTATTTTTTAATATAATTAAATGTACAAATATATTATTAATCAAATCTCGCGCAATGAGATAAAAATTGATTATAAAATCCTTTTTACGTTTTTATTCTTAAATGAATAAAATATTAAAAATTTTAAAAAACGAAATTTTTACTTTTAATATACCTACAGGATTTCTATGTCGTTTTTATCGATTATATTATCGGTCAATAATTAATACACTGTCCGATTGAATCTTGTCGGGCGCCGTGAAAGTTCGCACGGCGAATGATAAAATTGTAACTAATTGTAAGACAAATAGTGAAATTCGTGAGAGACTCACCCTGCATTTTCAGCGGCAGCAATGGACATGTGCCTCCTCTCATCGAGGGTGGGCGCGGCGTCGAATTGCCGAGGGAGATCCGTGGTAATGAATTGAGAGTCACGCTTGCACGCGAGAGATGTTCCCTCTCTCGTTTTCTTCTAGCGTTGACACCACTACCCTCGTGCACCAACAGAACTTTTCACCACCAACACCACTGTCGATGTCACCACTGAGCGACGAGATTGTTGACCATCACTCGCGGTCAACGCGTATCACAGAAATCAACACCTCTCGTCGCGATGAAAATAAAAAAATTATAATAAAAAAAAAAGGCCAACGTTAAGAGAAAAAAAGCGAGGTTCGCACCTTACTTTGTAAGCGCACAAACAAACCCTCGTGTCCCAAAAGTGTCTTGAGAAGTACCTCGGAGCTGCGAGGTTGTATACGGACGAGTGGATATCGTTCTCGCGATTAATTGCCGATTAGCCGACAGAGCTCAACGGTGACATCCGGTGATGAGTCGGAAGCTGCATCATCCTTCCACCGATGGTTCTCAACCGTCTTCTTCCCGAGCTCGACGACATTCGATATAGCCCGTACCACTGCCGACCACGCCGTCTCGTTTTTTTCTCTTCTCTCTCTTTCTTTCTTCCAGTCCGAAGGATACAGCAGACGGGCAGGTGCAGAGACGAGAAACGTAGCCTTGCACGAATCGGCTGCGAGATCACGGCAGAAATTTCGAGCGGCCTCAGCTCAAGAGAGAGCGATGGCGTGATCGACGATGGACGTGATCTCTCTATCGAGACGTGTACACGTCGTCAGGGTGGGTCCGTAGCACGAGCGAGATGGGAGTGTCTCTTCCCCGAAGAGAGCCTGGCCTCCCTCGATTATTCTCTTCCTTTCATCGGACTATTTCCGACGTTTTTTCGATGCTTTCTCTCTCCTAGAAAAGTTTTCGCGGAGTCGTTTTTTATAGCTTCAAGCTCTTCCTGCGCGACGAAAGCTTCTCTGGATCTAGTCGACAAAGTTTCTTGGTCCGTCACGTAGAAGAATCTTCCTGTTGATCCTTCCGTAGTTTCCTTTTTTTTTTCAAGTCCACCAAGTTCAATGGTTTATCACGTCAGGTAGGTCGTGAGCTCGATAAGCTGAGGTTGATCCTGGAAAACGATAACAATAAAGAGTGAGTGAATGAGTGAGAGTGACAATTGTCGGTGTGAGCGTTGAGAAAGGGAGAGAAAAAAGAAAAGAGTATTATGCTATAAAACATGTCCACGTAACACACGTTAATGGGCAGGACAAGTAAGAAAGATTGCGCGCCGCGCGTTACGTCAAATGCGTTACACGTTACGTAAATGCTTTGACGCATTTGCATTCGTTGACGAGCTCGTAATGCGCGCGTCGTCGTTCTACCTCATTTGTGAGATAATGGGTGGAATTATTAACGAATAAATGATTATCGATACCTCTTTGTTCGAGTGATATACAAGAGAAACAACTGATTATCGAATTGAATAGTAGATTCAACATTTCTTTTTTTTTCACGTATAAATATGCATCATTTTTATAAAAGCTTATTGCTATACATTGTTTTTTTTTTTCATATCAATTGTTTAATTTAAATATTGTTTTTATTTATTATTTTTCGGTTACTACCATTTATTTATTTCGTAATAAAATAAAATATATTTAATTAAATATTTTATCGTTTGCTTTTATCATTACATAAATAAAATAATTCAATTTAAAAAAACTGTTACGTATGATAAGAGTTATAAATATAAATATATATATATATACATACATATATATATAGTACGTAAGAAATTAATTTTGTATTCTTTGATACATTATTACATTCTTTTTCATAAAACAACATATAAAAACAGACATGAGAAGATAAAAATAAAATATATTTAATCAAATGGTTTGTTTCTATATCATTATATAAATAAGATGATTATTTAAAAATTGTCGTGAGTAATGAAAATTATAAGTGTAGTACGTAAAAAATTAATGTTATACCTTTACGTTGATATATTTTTTTCACAGCAACGTAGAAAAAATATATGAAAAAAACAAAAACGTGAAACAAAATAACTTAAACATTATCATCATTTTACTAGAACAATGTTACCATTGTAATACCTTACGAGGTGATGCAACTCGCAATATAGTCGCAGTATTGTATTGGTAAAACCGTTTTAATTATTGCATATTTCTGGAAATTATATGACTCAAACGCGCAATATTAAAGAAAAATATAAGCTACACTTTACTTATTAAATAAAATAAAAACAAATATGAATTCTACGTGATTCCACCATAAAATCGTCAAAATATTAAGTAATGATGAGAAGTAAATGTTTACACTTTCCATAGTATATATATCAATCGAGAACTTGATGCTAAATAGTAGATGCAAGGGCTATTTTTTTAACCGACCCATCGTTTTCTCTGAAAACGCTAGATGTGCGTCATATATTTCTACTCCGACGAGCAACAAGCAAAAATTGCGCTTTCCGTAAAATCGCGAGAATTCGCTCGCTGCGTTTTTCCTTATTTTTTTTTCGGCGAGACGGGGAGCGAGCGGGAAGGTTAAACGCATCCGCAACTAATGACAGGTTTCGAAATTGCCAACCCAACAACTGTCGCTGTTCCCGTAGAGTCGTAGCCCGCGATATAACCACGCGCATCACATGGCGTCGCGCTCGGCGAAGAGGCGCTGCCATTAATACAATAGCCCCGGGTGCGTGCATGCGCGGCGCATGTCCACACGGCCCATTCTCCCGCTTCCGAAACATATGTAGACCGTGGGCGCGTTTAGGAAAACTCGGGAGATCGATATCGTCGTCGGCTGGTCGGCCGTCGCGTCGTCGTCGACGTCGCTCTCAGTCCGTCCGCGAATTTGCGCGATTTACGTATTAAAATTCCGACGAATATCTCTGCTGTCCCGAATCAAGATTTATTCATTTAAAAAATAACTATGACAAAAATAGAGTACATATTTTGACACTATTATAGACTGTTTTATTTTTTTACACGCGGAGAGAATTTTTTTTCTTAGAATTTTAGCCTGAAAATATCATGAGAGAATTTTATAAGTTTCTCTAATTAATATTTACCACAATAAAAAATATTAATACGTACATAGTAAAATTAATCAAACATATATCTTATTGTGATAAATATTAATCAGAGAAATTCTTCCAATATTATATATTGTCCCACGATTACCCTGATTTTCAGGGTAAATTTTAAGAGAAAATTCTCTCTGCGTGCAATGTATAGTAAGAAATATATAATAAAATACAGTTTATATAATAATAAAATAAAAATAGAATACATTTTTAGCTAATTGTCTGCGATAATACGGATTCATCTAATAATAGTCTATTTAATTTTTTTTGAAGTTACAACAAAAAAAGCGAAACTATAATAAAATAGAGGCTTGATTTAAAAATTACATTGGCCAATAATTGACTAAACAGTTGAAAAGAAAGATTTAATCTTTTTATAGAACTTTAACTCACTTTTATTCGTTCGAATTCAAATTAAATTTATTTTCTCATTTCATAATTAGTTGAAAATTTTTACAGTTCGTTGATTTGAAATAAATGTACTTAAATGTAGATAAAACAGATAAAAGTTCTTTTTTATTTGATTAAAACAAATTTCAGGAATTAAAAGAAAATCATATTTAAAATTTTTATCAAATAATAAAATTTCAAAAGTCTCACTAAATAAAACTAAATTAAATCTACTTTGCCGTTAAATCAAGTTCTTTTTCTATACGTCAAAATTTAGGCCAAGGATTTCGGAATATTCTTTTGAAGGAATTAAAATATATATCCTTTTAAAAAGACATTATCCCATTTAAGATTCGAGTAAATATTTTAAAACGTCTATTATGGAACATAAAACATTTTTCATTTGCTATATATTAAAGTGAGTCATCGTTCAACGAGCCGTCGCAAAAGTGTGATTGCGAAAATCACGGACACACACGGTCACAGAGCGTGAATTTAGAGGCCGCGGCGAAGCGATTGGCCCGTGTTTTTTCGGCTTCGCGCGTACTTGAACACGCCTTGTCATTCGTCGAATTTACGCCTCAAATGCGCCGAACATAATTAATTCGGATACCGCGAATCGCGTTGCATTGCGTTAAAAGGAGCGTTACGTCGTTCAATCATCACTTTCAGGTCTTCTCTAAAATAAACGTAACGCTCGCTTTTAGGATACTTACGTCAGCGCAAAACGCGGCTTAATTGCTATTTTCTATTGTTTTATCCGAACAAAACAGTTTCCATCAAAATAATAATTGCATCAAAAAATATCCGGAAATACATTACATATATATTATTTGTAATTTCAATGCAAAAATGAAAAATGTTTTGTGTACCATAATAGATATTTTAAAATATTTACGCGAATATTAAATAACATGTTTTTTTTTCAATATATTTTAATCTTTGAAAAGTGTTTCAAATATATATATAAAATATGTAAAATAATATGCATATAATAATGTCAGTTATTCTATTGTAAGATGTGAATGTTTTATTATCAAATAATTAGAAAAATGTAAAGATATTTTTATCAATATAAAATATTTTGTTAAATAAATATAAAAGAAATATTTGAGTTAAAAAATAAAAAGTTATTTCAATATCTCTTTAAATCGTAAAATTTCTAGATAAAAAATTATTTTGCAATGTTCACAATTTAAATTATAATTTTATGGAAAGTAAATCCAATATATAACAATAAGCAGTTGAGATATAAAATCCCTTGAAAACTGAAGTGTCAATTCGAAAAAAAAGGTCGATTAGAAATGATTCTAAAGAACAGAGCAGGAAACACAGCATGTGTGCATAATCCAGTCCCATCGACTTAGGACTTAGGTCATAACGTTTACGACACATCAGTTGTGAGGTTAGCACTTTGAAGTGTGAGGTCATTTAAATAACCCCTGTTGCTCCCGTGTTACGTAATTTAAAGGACCTTGGAAAATCTCTCGTAACTTTCTCGACTTGTCAAGCATTAAAATAGATAAAATATCCTGTGTGTGAATAAAGTTGTAATAATTTCTTATCACTATCATAGCCGCTTTTTTCGCAATTATCATTGATTCATAATTTATCAATATATATTTTACACACACATTATTAAATCAATTTAATTAATTAATTAATTAAATAAAGTATATATATATATTTATAATATTTGTACATGGAGAGTATTTTCTTAGAATTTACCCTGAAAATTGTGGTAATCGTAGGACAATATATGAAAAATGACAAATAATAAATATTGTACTATTTATTAATCGAATAAATTTTATATCTACCGTGGTGGATATTAATATTTTTCACTGTGCTAAATATTAATCAGAGAAACTTAAAAAATTCTCCCAATATTGTCCTCGATTACCATGCTTTTCAGGTTTAAATTCTCTTTGTGTATTATAAATTTATATTACATAGAATATTTTACATATCAATTATTTATATATATACATATATGTATATATGTGTATAGATAAAAAGTAAGGCTGATCACACACGATGTTGGTCTCCTTTCGAAAAAAATAAAAGGTTTTGCGTAACCGCGGTAGTTCTCAGGCGCTTTGTACGAGGAGTTCTCGAAACACACATCAGAATATCGGAGAGGCCTATAGAATTTCGTGACGCCGCGTATACACAATGCGAGTACATTGTAACTCCTTCCCCGAATAGAGGCGGCTTAGGCTACGCGATCGCGTGACATGCCCTTAGGACGACCGTGGTGGCTCTCTCGGGCTCATTAGACGGAGAAAAAGTTTAACGCAGAAATGAGGGAATTCACGGACCGAAATTAGAAGCGAGCACCGCGTTTCGTTCGTAGAATGTGCCACTGCCATTGTCCAATTTTTATCCTCCCATTATCGTGATTTGGCCCCTGAGGGCCCAAGAAGGTACGAAAAACAAATTTTTTTTAGGAAAGACAGAGAGAGAGGGATATATATATATATATTTACTTCCTTTGAAATGTATTATATCGCACCATGAAGTAATCAATCTATATATCGCGGTTTTCGAGTTCAAAATAATTTCCTACCCGGAGCAAAATTTGCGGAATTTGCCCTAAAAGAAAACGTTCGAGTATATAGATTTACGGAGAGAATTTTTTGAGCGGAAAAAAAAGAGCGCGCAAAATCTCGCATATTTTAGGAAGGAAAAAAATCGTAACACGCGAAATAAAGGTTACTTCATACTGAAGATTACGTATATATGTTATGTATCGAGTACATGATTTACTGAAAATATTTATACGAATGAAAAATAATATTATATTTTCTCAAACGCGTATAACCTATCATCGAAAATATTTGCAAGATTCTTGAGCGATGACAGCTACATCAAATTTAGCATTTATACAACAAAATTTCAGATTACCTAAATAAACAAACTTCGCACTCTCTCTCTCTCTATTCTTTCCCCAAATATATACATTAGAGAACGTGACAAAATTCCTTCGGCAACAACATAGCACAATTCTCTCTCTCTCTCTCACTCGCTCCGAAGTATGTCACGCTAACCTTGAAAACAAACAACACTGGCTCTATAACCTTTCAATTCCTTCCCACTCGAGAAACCGAAACATTTCATCACTTTCGAAGGAAGAAATCCTTAATAGCACACATATCCCAAAAGGATATCCGAACATCCTCCGAACTTTGGGATATGCGTGCTGTCAAAAAAAAAAAAAAAAAAAGAAAAACGAATGAAAGAAGAAAAAAAGTCACGCACCTTTAACTCGTCTGTATATAATCCTCGGGGCGAATCCTCGCAGAATCCTGGAGTCCACGACGACGGACGACGCACAATCGAAAGCGCGATGGTTAGGTCGAAACACTGGTTCTCGAGAGCGGCGGCGCGCACAACGGAGCGCGACGAACTTGACTCTCAGCGGAGCAGCGGACCGTCCGACGACGGGCGAATAAAAACGGAACGCGGTAGAAGAAACCCGGCCGCTGCTTTCGCGCGGCGCCAAGCGCGATCCGGCGCGCCGCTGTCGGGCATTATTATTATTACAACAACTCGACGACGATGACGTCGTCGTCGGCGCGAGGGACCCGCACTCTAACGACCATTTTTCTTCCTTCGGAGAAGTCCTTCTATAACCTCGAAAAACGACGCGCGCGCGCACAGCTGCGAGAGGAATATCCGACAATTTCTCTCTCTCTTCTTCCTCCTCTTTCAGCCGCTCTCTTTCCGCAGAAAAACACAGCGGGGCGCCACGGGATACGCGAATAGACGGATATGTTGTCCGGTCTCCTTTTACACTCGCACGTGCGTTACACGCGGAAACTTGCCGTCGACGATGACGATGTTGTCGCCCTTAGCTTCCGGCGGCGACCTCGCCGCTCTTCTCATCCTCTTCGGCGACTATCCTCCTCGCGGACGCTGCTGCCGGACAACAGTACGCGTACTGTCAAGAAGTACGTCACGGCGGCGACGGAGCGTCCCGCGCGTCTCGTCTCCCGCCGCCGCCCCCTCCTCCACCCCCTTTTCACCGACGACTCGGCGAGAGCGCATATATATGTGTATGTGTTTTTTTTTTCTCTTGTTTTTTTCCTATTTCTGTGTCTTTATCTTCTATTTCGCTCTCCTTCTTCACTCGAGACACCGCGTTGTTTCTCTTCTCCGTCTGTTCCTTTGACAGCGAGCACGAATATATGTTTGTACACACGGGACAGATAGGAGAATAATAACGCGCGACGACGGAATGGGAAAGCGCGCGCTGTCCGTGTTTGAATTTGCGCGCGCGCGCGTGTGTACTCGATTAGCGCGACCCGACGTGCGTGACGTCACACACAGCCGCGACGTTACATCGCCTCGCTCCCTCTTCTTCTTCTTCTCCTCCTCCTTCTCCTCTTCTTCGTCTCGCTCGAACTCGGATCTCGTTCTCCTTTCCCTCCTCCGTTCCTTCCTTCCGGCGATTGTCACTCGCGCGAGTGACGAAAAGCGACGAAAAGCGGCCTCGCAAAACCGGAACAAAACGGGCGTGGACGATCGCTGGCCGACTGGCTGGCCGTGATGGTCGACGCGAGATAGAGAAGGAGAGAGAGAGAACGGCTACGCTCGGATATCGCGGTCGCGCGATATATTTCGTGCTCGCCTCTCCTCGCTCGGAGTCGCTTCGTGTCGAACTTACAGAGGGACGTCGTCGACGACGAGGTAATATCCCGGTGCGACCGGCGGACGTGTACGCGGGGCAGGAAACGCGAGACCCGCACGCGGTTCCGCGACGCGCAAAACAATCCGCGGTTTAATCCACTCTCGTGAAACAACTGACGACTTCGCGTCGTACGACTGGCGCGGCGAGACGAGTAGGACTGGAGGCGCCGCGAGATGGCGCGCGCGCCGCTTGCTCTTGGGACCCCGAGCGCGCCCGAGCGCCGCCGGAGACGCCCGAGCCGCCACGAGCGCGACCGATTCAATATCAAGTGCACGACCCTCCGGGCTTCTTTCTTGTCTGTCTGTCGCGCGCGGATGGATGGACGGATGGATGGATGGATGGATGGATCGACCGTATGTAGGGTACTTTAATGAGTGTCGCGTGGTAACCAGATGAATTTTCAACGCGTTCGAATTTTCGTTTGGAAAATTGTTTCGGAAAAACGCCTGTTCTTTATTATGGGGAGAAATTGCTTTTTTATCGATCCGATGAGTTTTTGTCGTTTCTTCTCCCTCTTCTTTTTTCTTGATATTTAAAAGCAATATTTATGTACAAGTTAAAAATTATTCAATTTTTCATTTGGAAAATTGTATAGGATATCTATTCTTTTTTTTATATGGAGAAATTGATTTTTTTTATTAATCTGATGAGATTTTTTTATCATTTCTTCTCCCCCCCCGCTTTCCTTGATACTTAAAATCAATATTTATGTACAAGTCGAAAAATAAACATTGTTTCTTTCCTCTTCGTAGAACATATTGATGGATAAATTTTCAACGTGTTCGGTTTTTCATTTGGAAAATTGTTTAGGAAATCTAGATTCTTTTTATGTGGAGAAATTGATTTTTCGTCAATCTGATGAGATTTTTTTTATCATTTCTTCTCCCCCCTTTTTCCTTGATACTTAAAATTAATATTTATGTACAAGTCGAAAAATAAACATTGTTTCTTTCCTCTTCGTAGAACATATTGATGTTTTTATTAACCTTTGTTTTTCTGTCATTATTATAAAATTTCGAATACTTACTAAGAATAGATTTTCTAAGCTTATACATTTTTAATACTAATGTGTGTATGTTCCCAGTCTTATTTTGTATTGAAAAATCATAAACATTTCTGTATACGTTTCAAATAATGTTTCGAAAAACAAATCTCAAATAAAATATTTGTTTTACAAAAATATCAATATGTCACGGCCATGAATATTTTCTATTATCATTATTACTTATAAAAAAATGAAATATATTCAAATAATTTCAGCAAATTTCAATTTTTCTTATTTCCCTAATTTCTTTTCGCTATATTCGTATTAACTTGTCTGCACCAACTGATCCTCTTCATCCGAAAGTAATAGGTTGCTGTTCAACTCATTTAATGTATTTTCCATCTTCTCCTTCTGCGTTATCCACGTCGTCCCGAAGAACGAACTTTTCACTACATCCTCCTGGAATTTGTTTAACGTTTCGTTGTACGCCTCGGAGATCAGTTCCTTTGGAGTTTGTCCAGAGTTATCTTTGATGTTGAGGTCGGTGCGCGGTAGCAGCAACGTGCAAATGTTCGAGAACTGGCTGTTTTGAAGTGTCTCGACCGAACTGGCGTGCTCCGAGATAGCTCGGTGCAGGGCCGTTTTGCCATCCGTGTCCCTGAGATTTGCGTTCGCACCGTGGCGCAGCAACGTCTCGACAGTCGCAGCATGACCTTGTATAGCCGCACGGTGCAAAGATGTCGACTTGAGAGAAGGAGTAGTCGCGTCCACATCTGCGCCATGTTGCAACAGGATTTCGCATACTCGATAATGTCCGTTTCGGGCGGCGTAGTGCAACGGTGTGTAGCCAGCGGAGTCTTCTGCCCTGGCATCGTGGCCCCGCTTCAGCAACATCTCCACGCGTTCCACGTCGCCCTCCAACGCTGAAAATGCATGAGAAAAAAGTTTATCAGTCTATATTTCATCACTTTTTACATTTTTATTGAGTAAACACTGTAAAATTAGAAATAGACAAATTTATTTAGATTTACACGTTTTCAACAATGTATGTAGCGCAATACACAACTTTGTCACAACGATTTAAAATTCTATCAAAGTTCACTTTAAATGAGAAATTATGTTCTATTAGTTATTCTAGTTTCAAGCTTAATTTTGAAATAATACTAGCTTTCCTGTTAATTCGAAGACATCATGTATAATATATTTGTATACATGAATAAATATTTTATCACTTGATAAACAATTGTGTATGAAATACAAATAGAGAAACAATATAAAATGTTTTTTTCTCATATTGTATGTTTCCAAATCATGAATATTATATATATATATAGTAATATAATTATATAATATAATTAAATAACAATAAATAATTATATAAAATTATAATTTATGTGCCTTCCTTTTAATAATCACACATGTTTATGTAATTAATCTATTATCTGTTCAAAGAGAAATTCTTCCATCTTTTTGCGAGTTGTCTGTGTATGTACATACATTACATATATAGTAATAAGAATAAAACCTATTGAATTCTCTGTTAATACAAATCCGATATTGGAATCTATAATAAACGTTGAGCCAAGTCTGAATATATATGTCCATTCATTGATAATCTATTTTCTAATGCTTTACACATTTACCATCTCTTGCATAAATTTGAGTAAATATTCATATCGCAAATAGAAGTATCATACGTTTTCATATTTATTTACCTGCTCGCCAAAGCCCACGTTCGAACACCATCTCATCCAAAGTCTGGTGGACACTGGAGTTGGTTTGGCAGCATGCATGAGTATCATTGTGAGAGTGCGCCATTGTTTATTATATCTGCAAAAATCATTAAGATTTTATCATATAAGTTTGACATAAGCATCTTACTATACATCTATTTAAAAAAAAAGATTACTTTTGTATTCTCAGGAGACAAAGATTTTTGTCGCATAAAAATTATAAAAATTGTATAACATGAATGTATCGATATTTCTCATATATTATATTGTAAATAATTGTGTACAACGTTGAATTATAAGCTGCTCCAACTGCATCATATAAAGACTTAATAGGGTCGCATTATAAAATTGTCTTAACACGAATGTATCGTTTCTCATATATTATATTGTAAATAATTGTTGAATTATACTGCATCATATAAAGACTTAAGTTTCAGCTTAGGCGCGAAATTATTACTTTGTATAAATATCAAATAATAGTTTATATATAAATATAAAATTCACCACTTTCGCGACCATTTTAGTTCTCATGCTCTATACATTACAAATTGTAACAAAGTTCCTTCTTCGCGTTACTATCATCGAATATAGCTTTTGATTTTCTTATATATAAATTAATATAACTGTTATACTATATTATATAAAATAATAATTGCTCTTTATATATTTTTATTCGATTTTACTTAACGTAAACAAGAAATATCAATCGCAATAATTCTTTAGACACATATTTGCAATAAGAAATATACGTTAATATACAAAGAGTAAACATCATCATAAACACTCTATATCAATAATAATTTTACATTTAAACTCTCTGGACCGTATTCGATCCGGACGATTTTTATCTCACACATAATACTGTACGATAAACCACCAAAAAATACAATACATATGGTGGAAGAAAGTACTACACTGCTGCTACATATGTTATGGTATATAAAGATATCATGTAAATTCTTATTTGTAACAATGTAATAATAAAATTTTATTCCCCACAAAAAGATAAACACTGCTTAAAGTCAGCGTGGAACCAACTCGGAATAATCTCTATTGCTCCGATTTGGACCGCAGCCTGGATTAATTGTACGAAACTCTCGTTTCTCAACTCTCTCACAATTAAAGCATTAAAAAAAACCCCATTTTTTCACGCAACGAGGTAAAGATATCACAAAATACAAGGTATAATACTTCGATACGGCATATAACGTGTGTCAACGTGCGTTTTGCTTTGCTCCGACCAATTTTCCAGCATATGCTGATAAATTATTATGCGCAACATACAGCACAGGAATGTTCAAGTGATTAAATTCTCCGGAATTATTACTCCCTCCCAGACAGTCTTATCACACGATCGTACAATTTTATCACGTCATTTTCAAAACTGTAAAAAGAAACTCGCGACATTGCCGAGATATGTACAAAGTGTCACATCCGATAACATACGAGAAACATTCGTGTTTATCGTTTACAGCAATGAGAATAACACATGTAAGTTTCCATTTTCATATCGAGCGAAATACATATTCTACATTTTAATGATAAGCTACATTCTTTATATACGTATCGTCCAACTTTGTAAGGTACGTATACATAATACAAGTAAAGATTAAGACTTTTGAGTTGGTCCACACAATATTACATGCTTTTAATTGTTATTGTAAAAATTTTGTCAAAATATGCGATTAGATGCAGAAACGAATGCCAGAAATTCAAGATGTATAAATGAAAAATGTAGAGAAAAAAATAACATTACAGATCTCATTCACTAATTGCTATAGTTTGATTCATAAAGACAGATATATATGTAGATCTCGAATAAATGCGATTAAGTATATACAATATGTGTGTAATACATTAAGGCCCATTTTTTATATCATTAACATTCCCGCTGCAATGTCCAAAGTATCTCAGCCTCTCCAGTACTACAAATAACTCGATAGCCGAGCTCGGCTAGAGCATTTATGACGGAGAACGGTGTTCCTGAAATCAATTTCGCAACGTAAATTTTCTAAAAGATGCCATGAAAAAATTAATATTAATATTTAGAAATTTATAATACATTTAATTTAATTGATTATATTTTATTTAAGTAATGCTAACTTTATGTTCAAAGTTTTCATAAGTAATAATTATACTATTAATATACACAATAATGTAAATCTTCAATCTCATTTATATTAAATGAATCAAACTTTTAAAAATTATTAAATATCTTATAATTAACAAAATAATTTACGTTAATATTAGTATAATAATTATAAGATTATTTTATAGATAAAGCTGCGAAATTTAATATTTCTGATATAATTGGCTTTTTGTAAACAAATTATCTCCATAAATTAATGCAATATTTATACAATTCATATTAAGAATTTATCATCTTGCGATTAATTTGTACTTTCATAAAATCACAAATAATTTTCTATAGTCATAATTAGGAAAGATCTGGTATTCGCTCTTCCGTGCACCATCTGCTAGCGTTTTCAAGTTTGATTTGTCATATTAACCTTTGAGCATAATTCCATTCACGACATTCGTACTACTGGGGGACAGCGGGAAGCGGCTACGTAGGGCCGACGCCTCTTTCGACGGCAGACCAAATACAGCGCAATCGGCCGCGAACGGGGACGCCCTTACACCGACGTAATAGAAAGTGTCGTCGTCCTCGTCGGCGGCGTCCTTTTGGACGTGACGTTGGACGTGGTTGCCATTGCCACGCTAAAAGTACGTTATACCTCGTTGTGCTTTACTTCTAGAAGAAAAGCAAACGTGACGCACGTGAGTGACGATCGAAAGCCGATTTACCAGGAAAATGGTAATATACACACACACACACAATCACACTTTATACGAGAAGCAATCTCTTGAGAATATTTTTTTCTCGATTTCGAAAGTTCAGAAAGTTGCGTTTTATATGCGGCTTTTTTGTTATTTTCTCCAATTTTTCATTCATATTTTCTCAATTGAAATTCGATTTCAGAGATAAAAAGAACACCTCCACCTCTCAATTCTTGAGATCTTATTAGATTTGACATAAAGAGACATATGACTAGCTGTTCTTTTATTTTAAAAATATTTGTAGCTTCAAAATTTCTATTTTCCAATAAGGAAATATTTATACAAGAGTCTTACGCATATAAAATTAAGGTTTATGAAACATTGCCTTCAACAAAAGAATTCAAAATCTTTTTCTAAATATGGAGCACATCTTATCTTATGCAAGTTCAATTATTATTGCAGATAATATTTTTGATAAGATTTAAAAATAATATGATTAAAGCCACTTTCAGGATACATGGCGCATTTCTAATCAAATGAAATGTTGAATGAAATGTTGAAGCTGATATGATGATACAGTATCGTATCTCCAATAGAGAAAATAGATTGTTTGTAAATAATAATAACTACTTTTTATTGATTTCTTTTTATAATATTATTTTTTTAAGTATTATAAATAATTATTATCTGTCAAAATAAGAATTTCGATAGATGAAAAGATTTTCTTCTATTGGAAATGCGATTAGAGCATGTAAGCACACATATAATTATATGTACAAGTGATAGCTTGACTAGAGTACTAATAAACTTTCAATAAAAATTCATGTATGGATGTTCTGATGGACAAACTATTGTTCATAGAAGCATTAGAATACGATTGTGCATAATAAATGCGACTACGCTATGCAATGTGCTCTTGAAGTTGCTTTTAAAGTTGCATTATACTAATTTTCGAACCATACCAGTTTTTACAACAGTATCAGGTTCAGGTTCTGAGAATTCTTTTCTCATAGTCCACATATACTCATTATAATCCTGCTTAATGCTAGTACTGGAAGATGCGATGACTTTGTAACCGAGTACCTCTAAAGCAGTCAATATTATGCAAGGATGTTGCAAATATACTATCGTTGAATCGTCGCAATAACCTATAGAGGTGAAGCGACTCAACTGCTCTATGTCAGCCGCTATAACATAATTGAATATTATTTGCACTTCAAGAAAACTTGATTCGTTATTACATTATTATATATCTACTTGCAATATTCTCTTAACTGTATCAAATATCATCTATAATTCTCAAAATATATCAATCTAAATGTATATTAAGTTTTAAATATTTGTATTATTACTAGCATATATAAAATGACTTTTAGTAAAATGTAATATAAAGAATTTTCAATTATGATAAGTTGCTGAACATATCGTTTAACTCTGGCATTTAAATTAAAATCAAAGGGAAAAGAGTAACATATGCATTTGTAAGAGGCCGAGTATGCAGAATTTCGTACCTTTAAGCCCTGACACATGAACCCTCCAAGGATATTTATGACTGTATGACGCTAGGTTACCACGTACTAGAATGTATGGCATAGTCAGCTAAATCAATCTGTAATATACGACATTCTATGGGTACACATGTAACATGTAATATTCACATAAACATGTTAGGTTTCTGTATCAAAATATTATAATGTTGTATATCAATCCCACGATTGGAAATTTATCAAAATTAAATGCCATAATCATTTTACAAGGTCCAGAGAGTTTAAAGAGATTATCATATTATTTGCAAACATTTTTTTCTGTATTTATTGCAATAAACAAGATGATTGCAGTATCAGTATTATATACACAAATGAAAAGGAAAAATAATATATAATAAAATAAATACTAAGAGCCAGTACCAAACAGGAAAAAATATAAGATAAACAATTTTTAATATAACGAGTAATTCAGAAATGTGTTCTCTTTCATTTTATAATATCCATTATATTAACAACTGGCTCATTTAACATGACTCGTGTTGTAACATAAATTAAGCTTTCGTTTATATAATTTTGATTTTGTAATTATTGAGTTTATCACATTGTTAGTTTATAGTCTTAAAGATCATACCATAAAACATGATTTTGAAACATGACAAAACAAACATCAAAATATATTCATGTACATTTTTTATGTCGCAATGTACAAATAAACATGACCTCCATGTTAAGTATAAACATATATATATATATATATATATATATATAAATGTGTGTGTATATATACATATACACGCATAATTTTGCACAATACATGATTAAGAATACAAATATTTTCAATTAATAATTAAAAAAATAAATGTTTAAAGTCACTTAAATATATATCTTGTAATAACAATTAAAACGAATGAAATGAGACAAAGTAAAACAAATCCAAAATATGCGTCGATAATTTACAGGAAGTAGACAGGAGACAGGATGCAAAACTTCCGAGATACCATAATAAATCAGACATTCTTGCCTTATCGCAATCAATTGACGTCACACGGATTATCGTAATGTTATTAAGGTGGAGTCTCTTACCTAAGGAAATACGTGTCGAAAGTTCGGAAAAAAGCAATTAGTGTCTCAGCGATACGATTTAGAGCGATTCTGTGGCATGTACGTGATATCGAGATAATCTATCATGACCCACGGATTCTCCGTACTTTGACCTTTTATCCGAATTACGTACTTCTTCAGCTTGTAATTTACACTCTCGACAAAAACGTATTTTGATTTACAACACAGACCGACCACAAAAATACGCAGTACTCGGTGCTACACTTGTCGTCCATAGACTTGAGAAATGCAATAGATGTGCGTCCTTGTTGAGAAAATTGACGGGGAGAGACAACGAACGTGATTGGCTGCGCCATTTTGACGCCTCGTCCAATCGAGCGCGATGATTTAAAAAGGCGCGATAATTTAAAAACTAATCTTTCTCGACACTTGTTATTTACTAAATAATTTATGCAATTTGCATAAGTACACAATTAGATGTAATATAAAATTAGTTTTAATGTTACAATTTTATAATATTGATATATATTCACAACATATTTTTTATCCCAAAATAAAATGGGATATAATGATTTAAAAAATTCATTGATAAATAATATCAAATAAAATCAAACATGCGAAATTATTCATTTCAAGATACACGAAGTATTAATTAGCTGATAATGTAGATCACATGATTGCATAATTGTGCCATTTACCCACCACCCACTTTGAGTATTTCTTCTTCAATACTATATATTATATACATAATTAAGCTTGTGCTATTTCTTGCCACAAAAGAAAAAGAAGATATAATCATATAAACTTCCTTTTCCTCTTCCTTTTCCATGTTGAACCTAACCTAACCTCATTTAATCGATTATACATGGTTATAATATTAAGTATTTAAGATTTAGGACTTTATATGTATACATACATATATATATATAGATAGATTTAGAATGTTTATATCATATTCTCTATATATTCTATTTTCCTGCATATTAATGCAATTATTTATAAAAATACATAATTTATATATAATAGAAACAATCTTTCTATTTTAATAAGAATGTGATTTCGTGATCTATAATTTAAAAAAATACAATTTCTTTATGGATTTTCATTATTGAATTTATTATACAAATATTTATTTTTATTATTTAGTTAAAGAAAACTTATAAATTAATAATATATATTTTTATAGTATTACATAAAAGTTAACACATTTAAAAACAGAAAAATGTTTTAATTAAGAAAGAAACTTAACGACTTTTTAAAATTATTTCTTCTGTATATATATTTTTTAATATTAAGATATTATTACCATCGCTGCTGCTTTAAATGTCGTCGAAATAGTCCACATGATCGCCAGCCTTATACTTATGTTTTTTTAATACTTCCACAAGACGATTAACTGTCTGTTCTGTAGTCAATACAGTGTTGGTTTCATGCAAGTGTTTCAATGTTTTTTTAGTGTCAGGATTGGCAATTGCTTCAACAACGTAGTGAAACATATCTGTTTTGACAGGTCCTGGCGAATAACTTAAGACGTTAACATCAGGATTTTCCAAAGCAAAGACCTGTAAGTAGTTAAAAAAGCATATTAATAATTCGTTAGAGAATGACAGAGCTGTTGCATTCTCGTGTATGAGAGAAATGCATTAATACAATACGTCATACATACCTTAAAATACATTTCTCGTGCTGCTTTTACTGAGCAATAAGAACCACAGGCAGCATTGGCTTGAATTGCATATAAAGATGTAATATTTATGACCAGTTTTTTAGTGCTATTGTCAAACAAATTCATAATCACTGCGTTTAAAACAGCAGGCAGGAAAAAATTTAAGGTGTAAAACTGTTTCCATTCATCTACATCCAACATCTCATTTAGAAATTTTGAAACATCACCAATCGTGCCTACATTATGCACTACGACCACTCGGTCAAATGCATCGCGAGTGGTTTCCTTTAGACATTCCAGTATAGTCCCTAGAATAGCAAAGAAACAAAATATTTACAAAATTGTCTTCTCAGCACATGTATTAATATAATTGATCTTAAAGCAAAAAAAAGGTACTCACTTTCAAAATCGGATTTCGTCCCTTCACCAAGATCTATACTGACAGTATGAACTGTCACTTTAGAAGGTATATTTTTCGCAGTTTCTTGTAGACCACTCAGATTCCTTGCTAACAAAACCATATGCGAGCCTTCTTGTAATAGCGATCCGAATGTTATTGCGATTTGACGACCAATACCACGAGAAGCACCAGTTAGCACCAGGAAAACCTTTCCAGATAGTGCTTCAATCGACATGGTGTCTTATATTACAAGTTATAATTATCTTTTGACTTAGTAAACTCTATTGATGGTTGATTTGCTTGTGATTCTTCCGTGATATCTTGTTGTTGCTCAGCTTCCGTGGTTGCTTGTAACACGTCTGCCTTCAACAGATGAATTAACTCGCTGGCTGTTAAAGCCTGTACATGAAAAATATAAACAGTTATTAGTTGTTATTAGTATAAGATGATAAAATGTAAATTCAAAGATAAAATTCTCTTAGTGAAATAATTTTACAACTTATTTTTTAGAAAGAATTTAATAGGAAATTATTTAATTTATTATTCAAATTTACTCGCCTGCAAATGTGGGGCTATATGTCTTATCAGAGGATTCGATGCCAACTCAGCTTCTTCCTCAGACTGCGGATTATTTCCAGAAGTGATTAAGCGTGCAATACAATCCTCTTTTGCTACTGACAACGATGTTACAAGGTCCTTTTTTGTTGTACCTCCTTGAAGAACTTTCAATCTAGAATCTGTTATATTTATTTATCAGAAAAAGCGTTGAAAATCATAAAAATCAATCGTGAATAAATGCTATATATAGTTTTCTTTGGACAAATTGTCTCGCTTATCTCTGACGTTATTCTACTAAAAATTTATCTGTCTTTTCTTTCTTCTCTTATCTTATTTCTCTTATCTTATTTCTTTTTCCAGATTGCGCGAAATTTAAAAAAATTATAGTGACTACAAATTTCTTTCTATGTTGTTTCAAAATAAGATAATCATATATTTTTCAAGATTTCGATAGAGATGAGGAACGAGAAATTGCGAGAAAGGAAAGATTTTTGGAACATGAACCACGCCTATTTTATGCGTCATTTGAGACGAAGGATGTGTCTTACATAATTTCTGAAGATACTGCTCAGAGTCGGACAATCGTTGATGATCCTTGTCCAGGAAAGAGTCCTCGAAACGATCGTTTGGCGTGTCGTCGTTAACAGACGGTTGAACAGCTGATCCACACCAAGGATCATTAGTGTCAGTCTTCATTTTAGGCCGCGCCTTGTTTTTATACGTTTCTCACTGTATCCTTGACAAATTTACGTATGCACTCTCCTTTTTCCTGCCTCTGGCAAGCCGTACCAATCGATATGCAACGAATAATTTGACGATGAAAACTTACTGATCGTTACTTTGCCTGTATTTACGCAACCTGACGCAACGGGACTAATAAACACTAATAAAAACATGGACTTATTGATACCAAGAGTGAACGAACAATGCTGTTCCAGTGTTGTAAATTTACAATGGATATTTAATCAATTTCTATATTATTAAAGTGAAAACAAAGATAGAATATGCATATTTTCTGACAAATTAAACAAATTACATGTGAAACTGCTTATAATTTGTATTTTTAAATTAAATAAATTATTTTTCAGGAGTTATTGCAGCATACAAAAATTTGAAGAAATTATATTAGCTAAATATATTAAAGATATATAAAACTATGGTAATAATTTTTATATCTTTTAATGGTAAAAGACTTTTAATGCCACATGCACATCCTTATGAAATTAAGATATATATTTTTTTTATTTCCATAATACCTTACAAAAAGATTTCTGTATGCAAATGTAAAGAGAAAAGATTGTTACACACACATTTGTAGGTGAATTTCTTTTTATTTCTGTCTTGCATTGATAACAGATCACATTGATGAATACAGACAAGTAGTAGATTATATTACAGTAAAGAAGAAATATTTTTGCACAAGCGACATTTTTTTCACAACGACATTCGCAATATATACGATTTCTTTTTCTCAATACACATATATAACGTATATAATTAGCTTGATACATTTCTCAAGCTATAATGTATACAAAAAATAAATAAACTGATATATTACTTTATTCACATAATTCACACACAATCAGAGCGCAATATACTTATATATTTAATAATAAATTATATAACTATTGATTTATTTTAATTCCAGTATTAAAAATAAAAATAATATAATAAATTAACATAATACACTTTTTGGTTTATTATTGTAATTGGCTGATAAAATAGAATAAATATATCTTAAGCAATATTTGGAATGCTCTTGTTGGTACATGCTGAAGATTAGCAGAGATTAATGATAGATATTGACTAATTCTCAGCTCTCCTTATAAATATTCTATTATAATCAATTTCTATGAGATGTGACAAATATTTAATTAACATGTGCACCATCATCTATTACGCATAATATACATGTGCACTTGTACAAATGCACTCAACAATGTACAACATATGAGAATATAACAGTATATTTCTTTGTATATATATAGTCACGTTTATTGCTATATTCAATAATTAAAAGTGAAATACCAACATCTCTATTCATCTTTTTATGGACAAAAGTCAAGCTGTCACACTCTTATAAACAATTATTTCTCAACTGCAAACTAGAACAGTATTTCCCAACATTTTTAAAAATATATAACTCTCTTATTAACATATATACGATATATTATTAACATGTAAAAAAATTGAAAATACTAATATAATTCCTCTAGGAGAAATCTTGCTTTTATAAGTTTTATTTTCTCACAGATTAATATTTTTTTTTTTACTTTATTTTCTAGTATTATTTGAAACGAAACAAAATATTTATTGTTTTATATGTATATGTATATACAATTTGAAAAAAAATTACTTAATTTAATAAATAAACTTTTATAATATAACAAAACATAAAACTTTAGGAATATTTTATAAAAATTAAAATTTCTAATTTTTTATCTATATATTGAAATTATATATATAAAAAAACATAACAAAAATAAAAAATATTTGTTAAATACTTTAAGTACAGTTATATGCATATACTTGCTTAATATATATGAAATAAACTACATTAATTATACATATATTTAATATATTAAGAGTGTCAATAATTATTGCATTAATAAACTATTGCTTTAATAAATATACTCTCGTATAATATAAGTAATTTTCTTATTTCTCTAACAATGCTCTAACAAAGTTGCAAATTTGTCACAATACTCTGAGTGGGAAGCACTGTTCTAGAATCACAATCAGTGTACATTCAAGATATTGTTCTGTTTCTGAAAAATATCTCTGTGCTGGAATAAATATATTTATATATATTATATATATAATATACGCACTATAGGAATGCATTTAGCTATTTACTTATAGCTGCTTTTATCGCAATTCTATATCTTGCGCTAATTGGTTGGTTATAGAAATCTTTCTCTCAATGATATAATTAAGATTATAAAGTTAAAGAAATCATTTTCTAAACCTTGAATATTGGTAATAAACAACTGTCTTTATGGTAGCTTTTATACATATGTACACACATATAATATATATATGTATAAAAGTACTTGTACAATTTCTCTGATTTAGATTTCTTACTGATTTAATTATGTATTGAAAATTTATACTAATTGTAAATCATAAAGAAGAAATGCACCTGACATTAAAAATAGACCATCCTTATATTTTAAAATCGGGTACTGTATATGTTATTTCGAATATTTCCATCCTTTTTACATATTTTCACATAGTAACTATACAATTGTACATTATTATGCATCAATCAAATATTCGTTCAACTTGGTAAATTCTTATACTTCCAAGCTTGCAAATTAATTCCCGTCAAGTCCGTGTAAAGGTATAAAATAAAGCAACTTATCCCTTTGTAAATTTTATAGAATTAGTAAAAATAAAGTTATATAAATTGAGATTACAGTAAACAGTTATTAGACACTGAAAATACTATATGTAAATTACTGCAATAATAATTTCTAGAACTGTAATAATGACTGTTTAAATATCATTTATGCATTTGTATTTCAAAATATGAATACGTTTTCAGATACACATCACAATGCAAGCTGGCATCATTTATTTTCTACCTTCTATTATGCGAACTTATTGTGACACAGAGAATCTAGATGTGTCTTTGCGTATATATAAACATTTCTTTCACTAAATTATTTCTACATAAATTACTACAATTTAAGGATACATTTGTTTGGGATAATGTCGCTTCAGCCCGAGTGCGCTAAACTTAAAACAAATCAGCGCTCAATAAAGCGCCTGCATTTTTTCTATGCTTCTAAAGTTATCGCATTCCAAAATGAAATAACACTTCTTATTCTAGGCCGCCTTCTTCTTCTAATTTTGATAAGAATTTCGGAACTCTGTAATTTGGTTCTACTTGACGTGCCATATCTATCAGGCAGAGCAATTTCTTAATACCGATGAATACCCTAAAATAAAAAAATGAATATTAAATTAATTTTGCAACTTCATGATGAGGTATTTGATCAAATATATTTATTTCTAACATATATATATATATATATATATTAGAAATAAATAAATATATATATTAGTATATAAATAAATATATATATATTAGTTAATACCACATATGTTTCGATAAAGTTATTGAAATGTATAATGATAATATTTACCGTTTTCCTTGAAGCTTTGCATGTAAGGAAGCCATTTCGTGTTTTGAAAAAAGATCAACTTCTTCCAATACATTTAACAAATGATCAGGGGTTGACAAATTAGGCACATGAAGAACGGTATTAAATGCCGAGAGTATCTCGAGATCATCTAAAACTTGTCTGCAAGAAAAAATATATTGTCCAGAAAATAACGTGTTAAGTAATTTTTTTTGTTTGAATGTAGAAAAAAATCCTTATTCTACCTGCGACTAGAAGTGCATAGAATTAATAGTTTACGGCCAGGTGGCGGCGGCTTCTTTAACAGCACCAAAAGTGCTTGCAATGTCAGATTAGAGTATCTTGGTCCAATTGGGCCGTAATCTAGCAGACGTTCTATATTATCAACTAAAATACAGCTGAGCTGCGAACGATATGCATCATCGAATACCTAAAATGTATAAATGCGTAAATGATAAGAGATTGTTCTAAATTTTATACATATTTTATATTAATAATAATTTAATAATTTATTTTACTATATATAATAAAAGAAGAATTTTGAATATTGACCGTAAGAAGAATTTGAAATATTTGTAAATAATGTAAGTTGTACATTACCTTCCGTATAGAAAGACATTTTGCGGATTCAACAAAACCGACCATGTCATCGGGTGTACAAACTTTAACGAATGGAAAGTCTGAATCCTTGGCAATTTGTGCGGCAAGCGCTGTTTTTCCGCTATTAGGTGGTCCTTCCAAGAGAACAGACACAAGACCAGATCCCTCAGTCGCTCGAGCTTGTTGAATGCATAAACTGCCATCGGCACGGATTTCAGCCACTGGTCTTCCCCAATTGATAATTCCACGTATTAATAATTGACTCAATATTTCCTGGCTTGTACCGAATGCCTAAAAGATACATAAACATATCCTTAGTGATTATTATATAGAAATACTTAGAGATATTTAATTATCTTTCAAATTGATTAATACAATAATCACGCGTAAAATAAAAGCAAGTTTCATTTTTTTTATTTTAAAAAAAATAATATTAAAATATTTATCAATTATAGAAACTGTATTTAACCAGTGGAAACTACAAAATTGAATATAAAGTACAAATTAAAATATAGAATTGAATATCTTTGCATATGACTTACCGGTTTAACATCATGCTCAAGTGCATGGAAAAAGTCGCCTCTAGAAACCATAAGCTTCTCCATCGCGGATGGATCAACCTCTACTTTGCTGGAAGCTTTTATTAACCGATTCATAGCAGTACTCTGTGCAGCTCTGACTAGACCCTCTAATTCTGCACCGCTAAAATTCTTAGTTTGAGTCGCCAATTCTTTCAAATCTACATCAGGCGCTATCTTTTTATAATCTCTCATTCGAGCTGTATGAATATTAAGGATCTGGTGTCGTCCATGTTCATCTGGCAAGCTAATCTCCATTTGCAGCTTTAAGTATAGAAAATCGAGATTTATTTAGAGTGCAAAATAACAGTGAATATTATTATATTAAAATAATTATGTGAACAAACGAATTAAGAATAAGCTAGAATACGAAAATAAATTCACTTAAAATATTTCTCATCGTTTTATAAACAAATCGAATAAAATATTCCATTCGTATGACGTATATTTCTTTCAAATTTTAATAATGAAAATTTCTAATTAAATTCTCAATATATATTCAGTTTAACAATTTATTATTAAGAAACCTAGTTTCACCTCCAATCTGCCAGGTCGTAACAAAGCTTCGTCGATCATGTCTCTTCTATTGGTCATACCAATAACGAGAATATTATTTAACTGTTCAACACCATCAATCTTTGCGAGCAGCTGATTAACTACTGTGTCATGAACTCCTGTATTTCCAGCAACACTACCTCGGGATTTACAGATAGCATCTATCTCATCAAATATGATTATGTGAAGTCCACTATTTGGTCCAAGCTAAAAATATATAAAATTTTTTAAATAAAATATGTAGCAAAGATTAGTTTGATTTTTTAGAAAGAAAGCGAAGAAATTTAAATCTCTAAGTATATCTTTAAACATTGATATTTGTAATAAAATACACTTTCTGTAAAATTCTCTGTCAGCAATAAAACTAGTTTAATTTTTATTTAGATCTTCCACAGCCAATTAACAATAAGTATTTTATCCCACAAATATAATAATCCTTTAAAGATTCATATTAGTTTAAATATTCTAATTAAATATGTTCATGTAGATTTTTTTATTATTTACCCTCTTTTCTTCATCTTCTGCATCAGCAAACAATCTTCTGATGTTAGCTTCACTTTCTCCAACATATTTATCCAAAATTTGTGGGCCATTTACAATCTTTGGCTCTCTTGCATTTAACATTGTACCTATTTGCCGAGCCATTAATGTTTTTCCTGTACCAGGTGGTCCATATAGCAAAATTCCTTTTACATGCTTGCAACCCAATTGAGTGACAATCTCCGTTGGAAAAACGCGAGATGCAAATGCTCTTCTGAAAATGGCACTAAATTCCTTATCCAAACCACCAATACCCATTTTCTGAAAGTCCCAATCTGGATTAATAATAGTCTGGCGAACAGCTCTTCCTTTAGCTTGTCCGACGAGGTTTAGACTTGAGTTTTCTGCTTTCTCAAATTGTATTATGGTATCACCTAAGCAGCGACCCATCTTGGTCTTTTTGGGCACTGTGCTTTGGCCTGAACTGATGGCCGATAAATCAGCAGCTTCCATAGTTTTGACAACTAAACCAAGCAATTTCTTATCTTTAAACTGAAATGCCAGCTGCTGACCCACGGTGAATGCCTGGCCTGAAAACTGTAGCAGAAACTCCTTAGCCATTTCATCTGTATTATATGGCTCCAATGTGACCCTGAAAGAATATATATAGCAGTGCTGGGTAGTATCTAGATACAGTATCTAGATACAGTATCTAGATACATTTTGTGTATCTGAGTCTGTATCTGAGATATATTCGAATTGAAGTATCTATATCTGTATCTAGATACAAAACATGGTATCTTGCTTTTTTCAGATACATTTGCAGATATATTGTCACAATTTTTTTTAATAGCCCAATTCTTTAAATTTTTAAAAGATCAAGACTACAAGTTATTAACATATCGTCATCAACACCGGTTAAGCGATTATTAAGCATTGGTCAAATTTTAATACCATGGTCAAATAGTTTGAGTGATGATATCTTTGAGGCATTTTTCACGTGTTAAGACTGAGGAATAAAGTCATAATATGAACAAAAATATTAATAAAGATAAAAGAATTATTCAGTACATTTTGTACATATTACCATTATTATGATAAAATATAAATTTAAAAGTATCTGCTATATATCTGAGATACTTTTAAAGTATCTGAGTCTATATACATTTAGTATCTGTATCTATATACATTTTACTTTGTGTATCTGTATCTGTATTGAGATATATTTTAAATGTATCTTACCTATCACTGTATATATATATAATTACAATATTAATATGACCAAAAAAGAGTCTTTAACATATTTGAAAAAAATGCCCTCTAATAGCAGATTTATTCATGACTTTCAGCTATTTAAACCCATATACATATATACATATATATATATATATATATATATATATGGATACACACACACACATATATGTATGTATGTGTATAGTAATATAAGAATTTTATCACAAATTTTTCTATTGTAAAAATTCCTAATATATATTGTAATGTAAGCCATTTAATAAGCATACGTTTTTTTCGCCAAGAAGTCAGCTTCCAATACAATGTTGCACAAACATTCAGTGTTAGAAGTAGGGTCAAAATGATATGGTCGAACCTCAATCTCTTGATTGAGAGACAATGTTGCCCATTTTCGTTGAGGCAAACTAAAGCCAACTGTACAACGTGGTACCTCATGATGCGGTCTCACAGTAAACACAAAATGATAATTTGGTGCTGTAGTTACTTCAATATGCCTGCAATAAATAAAATAAATGTAAATCAATAAAGAGAGAGAATACCAACAATAGGTTCTCATATAAATTTGAATAATTTAGAATAAGAATAAAATTGTTAATATTTTAAATTATTATTGATTGTTAAATTAAATTATTTATATATATATATTATTAAATGTAAAATATATAAATAGATGATGTAATATAAATATACATTAAGAGATATGAATTAAACCAATGTAAATACATGATGTTGAATTCTATTAGACTTTGACAGGTCAATTAAAATCACAAATAAATTCTCACCTGACATCATCAGGAAAATCATCAGGATTAATAATTGCACAGTTGGAGAGACTGAGCTCATCTGTAGGACATCTCACTGCTTTCATCCGCTGAAAGGGGAACAAAATTCAGTCTTCTAAGAGAGTTTTATGCGAAAAAGTTTAATATGAGAAAGGGAGTATTGATGAGATTTTCATATGAGGGAAGGAACAGAAGAAACAGAGGGCTGATCGAGAGACCGTCAAGAAAACATTTTCTCTCTCTCTCTCTCGTCGTACAAAAATTCACGAGCATGTTTGCGACGAACAAAACATCTTCGATACGAAGTTAAGAATTCGTCCTCGCGCTTGTACTCACCATCATGAATATTTCTTCGTCAAAATTCAACAGATCACAATCATGCACCGATGTAATTGAGTCTTCTGCCTCCTGCACCTCCGATATTGATGTGGTGAGGCTAGCCACGGTCATGCGCGAGACGAGGGAAGAGTGGTCTCGTCCACGTACAAGGCGTATTGCGCTTCTAATAAATTTCTTCCTGAAAATTATTCGTCCTTGCCATATTAGAAAAAATCACATGCATATATTTTTTTATACGGAAAATCGCAATTTCAGCGTCCCGAATTCGCTCTTTTCGCTGCAAGACACATGCATGATCATGATCTCGCAACTGTCAATAAAGTAAATTGTATGTGTGTGTGTATACATACATACATATATGAGATATATATATTCAAAGCGTGTTTCTGTCATGCGTTGCATTTGCGCGATGACGTCACGTTAACCATGATGTAATAACATCCATGACGTTTCGAATAATTGATTGCGCGCGCAATTCAAACATCAAAATGTGCAAATATATAAGACACTGTTGATCCGGTAATTAATTATTAATTATTTAATTAATTGTGAGCCTCAAGTCTATTATTTTAAAAATTTCGCGAGATCTATCCTCAAGCCTTCCGTCCTGATTTCCAAGAGTGGTATCTTATTTCTTGGAAGAAACTAGAAACTACCCTCTCATACAATCTGTGTGTGAACATATGTATGTATGTGATTTGGATCATGGGTGGAAGGAAATAATAAATATAAAATATATATATATATATATATATTTAATATTATATTTAAATATATATTTAATATATTATATTTATTATATATATAATATTATATTTAATAAAATATAAAATATATATCTTCACAATTAATTGTTGAAATTGCATCTTATTATTTATAAAATATATATGTAATATAAAATATTATATATTTTATATTATATATATTTTATATTTTATATTATATATTACATTTTATATTATATTATATTATATTATATTATAAATATATATTATATATTATATCTCCTTTCACCATAAGTTGGACCTTCCTAACCTTATCTTGGCCAATCGGAGCCAGTTCAATTCTGGAGGAGGAAGGAGAATGATGTCCTTTTAATTGTTTGATCGAAATGACAGATGAATCAATTTTAAAATCTCGAGATATGTCATCGTTTTAGTCACCGCGAGCTCTTTCTCGATTATGCGAATGCAAAGCGAAATCTGTTTTGAGAAGACAGCCTTTTATGTACATTGAAAAGTTTAGGTTAGAATTCACAGCTTTATTTATATTCCAATAATATATCTGTATAAAGATTTCTCTCTTTTCTTTAATCATATTTTTAATAATATAGATTAATAGTTTTTTTAATAATATGACAGATGTCAAAAAAAGGTATTAAACGCATTTCTACAAAAATCTTTTATACTCACACTCTTATACTTTGTTTGTAGCGATACATAGACAGAGAAGATATATTAATCATGGAGCGAGGAAAAACTGGTATTGGTAGAGCAGTAAAAAGTAAAATTGCCCAACATCCTTCTGATCTCTTTGCTCTGGGATCAAAGAGTTCGCGAAATGAAAATTCTGACTCTAAAAGCAGACCAGGTGTTATTCATTCAAAACCAAGTGGCAGTTCTACAAATTCTGGTACATAATTCATTCTTTTTCTCAAGTGGATAGTTTCTGTTTATCATTTATGTGATTCTGATTATTTACGGTGTAAATTATTGATTGTTGTGAACAATTATATATAGGTAATGATCGGAAGAAAGAAGCACCTTCTGGCTCACTTCAGTCATTCTCCTATGTTCCGCAGAAGAAACCCAAATTGGCTCACGTTGGTTCCCATCAACGACAACCTTCTTCTAGCGCAGAAGCATGGGAAGTTTTAGCTATAGATACTGATCCTGCAGATTTTGTGCCTATGGCACTCGAAGCTAACGACAATGATGAAGCTGACAAGGTTATTGGAATAATATGTGGCGCTGTCAAGACACTGAAGAATCAAAAATGGAAGCCCGATACATTAATTTACATGGGCTTATTATACCTAGCAAAAATCCGCCCATCCATTTTCTCAAATGATTGTATATTACATGCATTATCATCTCTTTTAAAGAGAGATCAGACTTATAACTTCAAGAGTAAAGGAAATCCACTAGTTCCTGTACTTGCGGCAAATCTTTTAATGAGAGGATTTCACGAGAAAAAGAACTGGCCAGAAGTATTTGTGAAGGTTCATTTATTTCCTGGCTTTTGTATTGCTTACCGCATAATTTTGTCATATTCACCGACTTGATTTTTTTTACAGTTGTATATTGAAGACGCTCTGGGTGAGCGCGTATGGGTCGACCATGAGGAATGCAAGGGTTTTGTCGATAATATACTGACTGGTTTTAACACGAGGCATCCACCTAAGTCTGTGTTACAGCCAGAATTCCCTGTACTGATGCAGCGGGATTGTCACAGCCCATCTACAGTGGATGATGAAGATCCAGCAGCATCAATGATGTCATTGTCCGGGGACAAGGAGAAGATAGAATTTCCGGTGGGCCCACGATATGCGCATTGCGTGGAGAACATAGAATCTATAGTGTTGGAAGCTGTAAAGGAACAATTGAACAGACGCCAGGCTGAGACCATAACGAGAAATTTCTTGAAGCTGCTCTCCTCGGCATGCGGTTTTGTTGAGATCAGAAACATCGCCGTTCCCAGGCTAGAAGTGTGGCTGCATAATCCTAAGTTAATGAGACCAGCGCAGGAGCTACTTATTTATATTTGTTATAATTGTACGTCTCACACTCAAAGAGACGTCGAAGTCATAAGTCAACTGGTGAAGATGAGATTGAAAACGAAAGCTGTAATTAATCTGTATTTGAATGGCGTAAAGGAACTTATCGGATTACACCCAGAGAATCTGGCTACTATGCTGAAGCACACGATTTACAACGAATTGTCGAACGCGCGCAATCCAAACAACATGCCCATGCTGGCTATAATGTTCCAGACTCTGCCCGAGCAGGCAGCGAAACTGCTCGCGGAGATCTTTCAGGATCTGCTGATGAACCGCGAAGATTACTTGAGACCATTACGCGCGCTACTTAGGGAAATCGTGCGTGTATGTCGACATGACATCAATCTGATCGCATTTGCTCGAACGTTGATGGCCGAAAGACCGGACATAGCTCAACAATTGTTGAATTTTGAATTTAAAGATCGCATGTTCATCTCTGTAGCGGATCTGCTTTGCCTATGCATGCTCCTGGCTATAAGTCCCCAGGTGAAGGAAGCGGCGACGCTGTCGCAGAGGGCAGATAAGAAAGACGTAGCTCTGCTGCATCAATTTCAAAATCTTGTAGCCATGATACAGTACGAGTCTGTACTGTGGCTGCAAAATTTGGCGCAGCAAATGTACGCAATAGGACGAAACGAGCTGTTGCACGCAATGCACAAGATCTTACTCCTGGAGTCTCCTGAGCAATACTATAAACTGGACAATTGGCCACCGGAGTCGGACAGAGTATTCTATATACGATTAGTATCCGATGTTCCTTTGTTGCAAAGTACATTATTAAGGCTGCTAGTTCTCGGTTTTTCAAAGGTAAATCAGTTTTTTAGTTATTTGTGAAACAATTCTTCGTTTTAGAGAAAGTTTCTATTCTAATTTTATTTATAGGATAATGGCATTACTCATTCGGAGACGTTGGATTTGACTGATCAATTAATACGACGAGCTGCGGCTAATTCAACAGAAAATTTTCCAATGTTACAAGCCGAAAAAATGGACATAATCGAACTTATTTTTAATCTGTGCATTTATCAACCACCAGGGACAATAAATATACCTGCAGGGTAAGTGTACTATGCATATATGGTTTATGTATTTAAATATAATAATATTTAAAGGGGAAAATATATGTGTGTAAATTGATATAAATTGAAAAATTTTATATTTATATATTTAATATAATAATATTATAATATTATTTAATTATTAAATAATCATAATAATAATTTTAATCGAATTAATCACTAAATTTATTTATTACTGTTTAAATATATTTTAAAAGAGAAAATTAATATGAAAAAAATTATATAATTTAAAACTCTCATATATATATATATAACAGTTCTTAATTTTATAAAATTAATTTTAAAATAATTATATTAATGAAAATTATAATAGAGAATATATCTAAATTTAATTATTAATAAATATAGTATTTACATGAAATATACATTTGTCTTGTAGATATGTACCACCGACATTGGCGATAGCTAATCTCTACTGGAAAGGATGGATAATGTTATTAATTTTGGTTGCTCATAATCCATCCACAATTGGTGCACTAGCATGGAAACGATATCCTATATTAAGAACATTGATGGAAATGTGTATCACAAAGTGAGTTTAGCAATTTTTAAAGATTGGTATTAAATATTTTGCGCTGAAAGAAATAGCAATTAAATCACAAATATGTTTTCAATAATAAAATACGTGCTTTCATAGTCACTTTTCGTATCCGCCACCGACTATGGCCTTGCCGGAGATCATGGAGCAAGAGCGGGCAAAGGAACTGCAAGTTGAAGCCATCGAGAAACAAGAGATACTGGAGTACGAGTCACATTTGGCCGCGGCATCGAGTAGAATCCAGTTATCCGAACAGAATAGTTTTCTGCTGTCGCAACTGATCACCATGGAACCAACGGGAATCGCTAGAAGACCGCCACCGGCCGTTCTCGAGCAATTACAATCGTTGAATACGTCACACAGATTGGGTCACCTGCTCTGTCGATCGCGTAAACCGGATTTCCTGCTGGATATCATTCAGAGGCAACAGCAGAGCACATCGCAGAGCATGCCATGGTTAGCGGACCTGGTGCAAAACAGCGAGGGTTCTCTGAGTCAATTGCCAGTGCAATGCCTCTGCGAATACCTGTTGTCAACCAGCTCGCAAACGGTTGAGAAACAGCCAAGACAACAGCAGTTGCTAGCACATCTTCAGGCACTACTAACCGACCCAAATCAGGATCAGCAGCACGCTTATGAAGTCTTGGAATATTTTTTGAGAAGGCTGAGCAGTCAGCAGAGCAGCAGCCGCGTCCAAGCGATCACCGGATTAAAGATGGTTCTAGATTCGATACCCCTCGAGGACGAGAGCATGGATATAGAGGGGGAAAACGAAAAGTGAGTACTCAAATGTATATTTTGGAAGAAAGAAATGGATTTGAACACTTTAACGATGTTTTTTCCAGGGAAATGTGGCTTCTACGAAAACTACCATCTATACCTCACTTTCTGTCTGTACGTTCGCTGGTTTCCACGGCGTTACGTGGCGCTTGTCAAGTCGAAAACAGTCCCGAGCTGGTGCACACGTATATATCTTATCTGGCCGCGCATACCATCGACGACGATTTGCCCGATTTGACCGACTTGGCGAATGAAATCTCCCAGTTGGTCGTCGAGCGTAGCACCATCATCGCGGCAATACTTCCCCAGCCCGAAAGTGACAATCGTCAGGCGAAACAAACGTTGCACGCCTTTATGGCCATCTTCTGCAACTACCTTGAAAAAGCGCGATCGCCTAGAGGAGAGGGTTACCAGTGGTCCGAGAGTCAGGATCAAATTCTAGTGCAATGGAGTAACGGCGAGGAGTGCACCATGCATATTCTAGTGGTGCACGCCATGATCATACTACTGACATATGATACGTCCGAGGACGATCCGTTGTTCAGCAACTTGTTAGAGACCTGGTTTCCGCTGACGGAGCCTCCAAAGGCCTTTCTCGTGGATACTAGCGAGGAAGCGTTGCTCATACCGGATTGGCTCAAGTTACGAATGATCAGGAGCAACGTGCCGCGCCTAGTCGATGCAGCGCTGAAAGATCTCGAGCCTCAACAACTTGTACTTTTTATTCAAAGCTTCGGAATACCCGTGTGTTCCATGAGCAAACTTCTTCATACGCTTGATGCTGGTGTTCAGATCGATCCCAGCTCGGTCGGGGAAGCGGTATTAGATAAAACTTATATGGCACAGTTGGTCGAGGTCCAACATCGAAGGGGCGCCACGGGTGGGCTGGTGTTTGTCCAGGTATTACAGCTGCTAGAGCCGCAACTGCCGGACGAGGGCATCGTGTCTCTTAATAAGCTGCAACAGCCATTGCCGGCTAGCGCGATGGTGCAGAAGCAATCCGTTATACAGTGCTCCGTAAAGACCGACGTGCCTCATTTGATAAACCGGCTGTTCATCGAGAGTATCCCGATGAATCAGAAAATGGACGCTTATCGGCGCTTGCACAAGACCCTGGCGAAGGATCTGCAAAAGTCGAACTTGAAAGAGAGCGGCGCCGTGGTACTGGCGATACAACACATCTGCAGCGTTCTGAGCTCTATGCAGGTCAAGCAGTTCCTGGCCTCGCTCGTCCACATGCCGCAGTACTCGTGCACGTTGATGCGCGTGATACTACTACCGCTGAAGAGACCGTCTACGTCGAAGCATGTGGTCGAATTGGCCCGCAACATGTGCATGAATCTGATTTCGCTGATAGGCGACGTGAAGGCGCCGGTCCTGTCGATCCTGCGGGACTTCGCCAACGTGCAGTCTACAAAGATGCCGCAACGTGCAGAACTGTCCATGCTGATGCAGAACCGCGGCGAAGGTCCCGGTACGATACTGGAGAACACCGACCCAGTGAATCTCGAGAGTGTCGGCCGTAAATTGCTGGATTTGTGTCTGAAACAACAGAAGAACGACGTCCTGGTGGAAGCCATGGCGAAATTACTGGTCAGCGATAATAATGAAGTGACGTTGAAGCCTCGCACGGGTCTGTTGATCGATTGGTTGGCCTCCGTGGAACCCGAGTTAATCGGTACTTGTCCTAGTCTCCAAATGAAGCTTCTGTTTGGAAAAAGGAAAGTGCATATTAAAATCGATAACGACGTCGTGAGCTCCTACTCCTGCAGACCTTATCTGTTAACGTTGTTGACGCACAGAGCAAGCTGGGCCACTTTGTACAAGTGTGTGGGAATCTTGTTGGATAAATATGACGATGGGTGAGTAGAGGTGGAGGAATAAACAATGTCTTTTTGCCGATATTTCTTCTTTTAATCATGATATTATTTTATCAACATGTTCTTACATTCAAATATATGCTTTACAGATACGATCCAACCGCGGTTCTGGACTTTTTGTGGGCGCTGACGTGCAACCCCAAGCTGTGGCAAGGTCGGGACAAATTTACGCCGAAGCATTACGTTCCTGAGAATATTCTGTTATTGGAGAAATGGCAGCTGCTTAATCTTGTGGCGTATCTAGTGTCCGAAGCTGTTATCATCTGCAGCACGCAGAACAGAAACGCCGCCCTCGCGAGGATGGACATTAGACTCGATCTACTTTTACATTGTATATCCACTGAAGACGACTTGATCTCCAGCGTGGTTCATTACTTAGCGGAACGTATGATGGACAATACGGAGTACGAATTTTACCATATCTTATACATATTTTTACAGCGTGCGACCAATTTAATAGAGCTAATCGATACTTAATTTTTTCAGCTTAAATTCGGCAGATATGGCGCATCAGTTTCTGCTACACATGTACATGAAAATTCCGAAGGTCATTTGCTACCTTGACACTTTCCAAGCGAACAAATTCGTCAAAGGGGCAATGATAACCGATTGGACGGGCTCTGTACTTGATTGCATGAGCCACTGTTTATTGACTGCGCTGGCGGCAACCCCGAGACAAAAATCCTGGAACGCCAAGTCCCAGGAATTTGAACTCTGCGCGAGAAAAATGGCCGCGGTACATCCTGTACTAGTACTACGACAGTTGCCAATGTTGGCGTCTTCCCTGATGGGAAGATGTTACCTTGACTTCAGTCAATTTAGATCTGGCCATCATCTGAATCTCTTTACTCAAGTTATGGGACTGTTGGAACTCTTGCAGCCGCATTTATTTAACGAGCAGCATGAAATTCCATTGGAGAACACATTGGGGAATTACTTCCAATGCTTTCAGGTATTGCGATTTGTGTAATTTCAAAAGATAGATTTCAAAAATATATTATTCTAATAATTATATATATTTCAATACAATATCGTTTTCAGAATTACGGTCATGTGAAAGATCTTAGCTCCTTGTTGAACAGATTCGTATCATTATTACAGTCGTATATCTCACATGATCCAAAGCGAGCACTGAAATATCTACACAAGCATGCACTAGTTCTACAGTAAGTTGCTTTCTGCTGAAATGCATATATTACACGACTTACACATTATATTTAAAATATGTAACTTATACGTACGTATGTACAGTGAATTGCAGATAAATTATCCTAATTTAGAGGCTTTGAGAATACTTGTATCGGGAATACCGATGCCAAGGGAAGGAGAAGATGCGGATGACATTTTAATCACCATAGCTCCCGCGCCACATCGTTCGGAACCTGTTATTCCGGAACACTGGCAATCGCTACTGGGTACACTCAGTAAATTGTATGGTGAAGGTATAACAAAAATATTGAATTATATATATATATATATTTTCGTTTTTTTAATTACACTCTTTGAGATATAAAATATAAAGAGAAATTTATTTATCCATTATTTAAATTTATTTATCCATCATAACTATCAATACAAAAATCAATTTTCTATTTTTATTCATTTATTTTTATCTTATAAAAGGTTTATATATTTTCACTTAAATTTCCTTTTTCAATCTATACGAGCTAACATCTGATCAATGACAATGAAATCTGATTTTTTACTTATTAAACAATGTCCTGTTATTAAATTATTCTTTTCTGACAATATAAAATACAAGAAAAATATTCTAATAAATTTTGTATTCCACGCAGATGTGTTCAACGCACTTCAAGAGGTCGAGCATGTTTCGTCGCGAAAACCTTCGGTTTTGGAACCGATAACAGATAATATAACGGAACTGCTCGTATCACCTCAGAGCAATATCAGAACGCTCGCTCATACTTTACTCGCCAGAGCATTAAAGCATCGTCCTACACCGAATACGACTATATTATCCGCGTTTCAAAGATGCTTGGACAGCGATAGAGCGGACGTTCTTATGTCAGCTTTGGAAAAATTACCAGATATTGTATTATGCATGCAAGGTAAAATTGCGACAAAATTAAATTTACATATTTTGATGTTTATTTATGTCAATATAGTTTTATAAATTCTTATATCTTTCTTTGCAGAGCACGCGTTACCATTGATGCAGAGGGTATTTGAATTGGGAGTAAATTCCAATGTCAACACGATGCCTTACATCACTAAAACTATTGCTCTGTTAAATATGCAGCAAGGTTGTTAATATCAAAGAATTAGTCTATTAGATTTGTGTAAATAATTAAGTATAAAACCTTTTTTACAATTGAAACGACAAAAGACTTTTTCGTTCAAAAATATGTATTATATATGTATATATTTACACAAAATTATACATTTTTTTAAAAATTACATTAACCTCTATCTTGATGATTAATCTATTGAAAAGCTTCTGGAGAAACATCATTAACTGCATAATTCTTCATAAATGTAGTAATAGCATTTCTTATGTCCCAGCCTGCTTCTTGTAGATATTTATAACAATATCGAATATTCATTGTAGTAAGCTCACGTAAAAATCTAAGCAGTTGTTCCTTTTCCGATACACTAAGTACTGTAGGAGTAAATTTAGGCGCGGATTTTTGTTCAAACCTTGTTTCGTTAAATGCACTGGCCGGTGTACCGTCAACATAATATTGATCATTGACAATACAGTATTCATTATCGTCCTTTTTAATAATAATTAAAGTTCTATTGAATAACATAGGTGGGCAGAGTAATACTCGATACGAAAATAATCCTTGCACCGCAATAGCTAGACAATTATCTTCTTCATGCAACAAGTCAATATGAAATGTTTTAAAGTTGTGTGACGTTGGTGGCTGCCGTCTCAAAGCACTAATTATCTTTTCAGGTCCGCAAAATAAGAATTCGTTACATTTAGCATAGTCAACAAATTTCAATAAGTTTCTATTTGTGGAAAATGTCTTGATGATCTCTTTATGCACATGATTTGTTACAGTACCCAGTGTCATGGAATAGAACGCGTTTCTGTCATACAGACCATTCATAACTATTCTATCTTCTTGATCGTACAGGGTGAAGAAATGCTTGACAAACTGCTTGATCAGAGATATTTTTGTTCCACTGCCGAGATAATTACTTTGCACGCTCGGCACAAATTTCTTCTCCATTCCTATCACGATTCCATCTAACTTCTGCAAGTGCGGAAAAACGTTCTTTACCGCCTGTATGTACTCCTGAGAGTTGGTGTACCTTGTGCACAATGGATTTCCGTCCAACCACAATTCGCTGATCTTGAACTCGCAGAAGTAACGTAATACTCCACGTCCAAAATCTGATTGTGCCTCAAGTCCAGCTTAGTTAAATGATAATTAAAGAACTTATCAAATAGAATGATAGCCGTCAGCTTGTTGTTTTTCATACTCAATTCGCGAACGGGCAATCGCGATTGCTGGGACTCGCGACTATTGCCCATAATCCCCATTTTGCTGCAACGCAAGACCAGATCCAGAATTTTTGGTATCGAAATGGGACAGAATATCGAACCCAGAGCTTTCTCGTTTTCAAAGTCGTCTAAATTGAATATCTTCTTCATCGGTTCGTATCTGGAATGTAAAGCTTGTGCTATGATTCTGTTCGTGTTCACTTGCAATTCCTTCGTACCAAGAAAACCCAATACAATGTCCAGATGCAGTTCCTGACCACGCGGCAATGTTACGCACAATCCTTGCTTCACTAGATTTTCTATGACATTGTTGCTACATTTCGCAAGAAAGCTACTTTTCTGCTTATCCTCGATGGTGTACATAATCGGGAGTAAGATCGCTGGCTCGCTGGCGGTTACGACAGCTCGCAGGACGTCGGTTCTTCCATACCGGGCGCCGTCGAAGATGATGAACTTGTGCCAGAGATCCTTGCGACTCGCGAGAGCCAATTCGTGACTGTCAAAGGATGGTTTGAGATATGTCAATCGATGCGGCTCCCATGATGGTGGATTCTCCGCTGACGTTGACGGCGATGCCATTGTTTACCCCAAGCTCTTGATATCACTGTTCTTGGATCATCTAATAAGATATAATAATATTAATTAATAGATAAATGAGAGAGGTAAATATTTTATTAAATATTGCAAACCTCTCTAATCTCTAAATATTTTTTTTAATCTCTAATATAAAAATATATAATAAATGAATATATATAATAAATATTTAAATGAATATTAATATAAATTTATATATAATATATATTTATATAAATATAATTATAATTAATTTATTATTAATATGTTTATATAAATAAATATTTAAATATTTAATCAAAATAATATTGAATATTCATTAAATATTAATGATAAATATTTCAAATTTCAAAAATATTTCTCTTACACTTACCAATTCAGTTTAGATTGATGATTAAGTCAAAATTGACATTTATAAATCATCGAAATTATTTTATGTATCGATAAAAATAGTTTTAGTATCCTTTTCTCTTGTTTACAAATTTTTGAGGTTAGATCGATGATTAGGTTAGGATTGACGTTTTTAAACCATCGATATAATCGATATAAGTATCGATACTCTCGAACTTCGATAATCGCGAGATGGGATGAAGCGCATCTTGTATACATATAAGGTTAAGAAATTAGGAGCATCGAACATTGTCATAAATACATTTGATAAAAAATTCGTATATTATCGTAGAAAGAAACTAAAGTAAGGATTTCAAAAAAATTGTTTTATTCTCTTGATTTATATCTCAAAATACAAATAATTATTTTTATGTGTGAGACACGTATAAATATATGTCAAATGTATAAAAGATGTTAAAAGATTACATCTTTTATGGAGATATAATAATTTCCAGTTCTCAAATTAAAATAAACTATAAACTTTAACATTAAAATTAATAAAGTATATAGGATAATTAATAGAATACAAATGTGATTCTCTTATTGTATAAATATATTAAAAGACCATCTTTTATGGGTTTTATATATAATAATTTTATATTATTTATTTTATATATAATAATTTCCAGTCAGCACAGAAAGTGTCTCAAATTAAAATAAACAATAAACTTTAAAATAAAAATTAATCAAGTATATAGGATAATTAATAGAATACAAATGTGATTCTCTTACTGTATAAATATATTTGTGAACGATATTGTTTTAATATTATTCTCTTTATAGGGAAGACAATAATCTAGTATGTCAAAGGTACTGGATGAGGAATTGAAGCAAGCTTTTTCAAAGCTGCATGAAAAGATGGTGGATACCAAGCAGAAGCTAAAGCTGGCTGATATACAAATTGATAAGCTGCGACGTACAAAGCAGCGGGCAGAACTCACTACAAAAGAAATTGGCTGCTTTCCCGAAGACACAAGAATATACGAATCTGTCGGTCGAATGTTCTTCCTAGATGATGTGAACAATATTAAGAGCAATCTGGATACTAGAATGAAAACATCTGATGAGAAGATTAAGACATTAGAAAATAATAAAATATATTTGCAACGTAGTTTAAAGGAAAGCGAAAATGAAATCAGAGAAATGATTCAACAAAAACAGAGTAAAGAATCTTCTGGTTAAAACGTTATTAAATCATTATGTGAATGCTATTTTCATTTTTCTTGCACATTCTTTGAGCTTGTCAAAATCATTATATGAAACAAGTGTCTATAACTACCCACTTATAAGAATCTAATCTGTTAATTTGAATTTGTGCTTTGCATTTTCATACATTACTGTTGCATTTTCATATTTTGTGTGCAATATATTTGGAATAAAACTCGTTAATACTAGAGAAAAAGAGACAGAATTCAACAATTTATATAAATTAAATCAAATATGAAACATAAAATTATACACAAATTGTAGAACATACTTTTGTAAGAAGTAACATTGTATGCAAATAACATTGTGCGTCTATAGGAATTTTAATTAAATAAACATTCTGATTTTATAACTTAAAAAATTATATATATATATAAGGATAGTTCACTATTTTCATGTTTTCATATGCTAGGAAAAAATGTTTTTTATATTTGTTATTTAAAAAATTTTTATGTATTTTTGATTGATATAAAAAACAGAGATATATATTTCTTTTATTAATATTATTTATTAATAATATTTATTATCTTTTATTTTATTTCTTTTTCTTTTATTTCAAAATTTATGCCAATTTTCATTATATTCTTGTCAAATTATGTTTTTTTAATATATCGAAAATTCTGAATTTTAACATTTTTTGAGAGATTGACAGTTTAAAATAAAATTAAATAAAATTCATGAAAATTGGACAATAGTGTGCTTGTGTTATTTGGTAGATTATATTTTGCGAAGAGATAAGCAGTTACATGAGTAATAAATGTCTTAATACGTTCGAAAAATCATCTGAATTAATAAGCAATTAATTATAAACAGTTAATTATTCCTTCACAAAATATAATCTACCAGACATTTACATCCCTTTTTTAGAAAGAGATATTGCAGAAATTCTAAAATTTATTTTATATAAAAGTTTGACTGAAATTAAACTAGCATCTATCTGTCAAAAAAATATATTTGGATTATGATATTATTATATCATGATTATTCGATTAAATTATGATTTTTACATCATGGTTTGGATATTTTTTTATCTACACACACAAAGATGTGGCCGGCAATAGAACATAACCTCATTTGACAGTGAAAATTTGATTGAGTTTCCGCGTTAAAACAATGTCAACGTTAATATCAAGATCTTTTGCGTTATTTAATAGGACTTCTAATAATGTTTCCGCGAAGGTAATTTTTCTTAAAAGACCTATTAACATTCATTGACACTCTAAAGCTGCAATAATATTTTGTATTATATGCAACCTATTTTTTTTAATGTCCTAATAACCTTTTCTTTTATTAAATTTTTACTAGAGAAATGAAAGTTTTATTATTATTATTAAAGTTTTCTTATTTTTAAATATGGCTGCAAGTCTATTTTATATCCTAAATGTCATAAAAAAATTAGAATGTTACATGATTCAATTCAATTCAGTATGAGTTCAGTTGCGAATAATATATAATTATTATATATAAATCCTGGCATCTGCATGCCATCTTGTCGGTTTTTTAATTTGTTTGTCTTAATTATTAATATATTTAATACAGCCTTTTAGAAAGAGATTTAATTAATGATTTTCTTTTTATGTATGCAGTTTAGGTATATAAATACATCGAAAGCATTATATGAACAGTCTGTCCTACCAAAGGATCCTAAAAAAGTAAAAAAAGGATCGCCTATTACATGGAAGAGTTTGTTAATTTCCAGCGTAGTTGGTGGTGGCCTTTTGTTATATGTGAATCATTTGAAAAATGAGAAAGATAAGCATATAGCACGGGAAAGAAGACGACAGCTAGGCAAAGCTAAAATTGGTGGAAAATTTGAATTAATAGATACAGAGGGAAAAACCGTGAAATCTGATGATTTCTTAGGTAAATGGGTATTAATATATTTTGGATTTACACATTGTCCAGATGTTTGCCCCGATGAAATCGAAAAGATGACAAATGTAGTGAATAGACTTGGTAAGCAATTGTTAAAAATTTTAATTGATTATATTGATTAGAAAAAATACTCATATTCTGTTCTCTTGTTTACAGTCCATATTATTTCTGTTTACAGAAAAAGAAGAAAACTTCAAAATACAACCAATTTTCATATCGGTTGACCCAGATAGAGATACACCCACTGTTGTTGGCAAATATCTTAAAGAATTCTCTAATAAGATTATTGGTCTCACTGGCAATACTGAACAAGTTGGAAAAGTATGCAAAGCATACAGGGTTTATTATAGTAATGGCCCTAAAGATCAAGATGATGACTACATTGTTAGTATATAAGTTACAAACAATTTAGTAATTTAGTAATTGTATGCTATTTTATGACATCATATTTCCTTATTTTAGGTGGATCATACAATTATTATATACTTGGTTGATCCAGAAGGCATGTTCGTTGATTATTATGGACAAACGCATGATGTAGACAAGATTATGACTAGTATTCTTGTTAACAAGTTGAAGTATGATCAATTAAACGAGGAGTCTTCTTCTTGGATGCCATCATTGCCGATCAAGGGAGTGTTATAAATATTGCAACATTCTTATGTATAGTTTTTATGTTGATATTACACTATAGAAAAATATGTGCATATATTAAAATTACATAAAAAATATAATGCATAAAATATACATTTTGTATATACAGTATAATATATTTTTTCAATATATTAAACAATGACAAAAAAATTTTTTTTTTTTTATAGAAACTTAGCTGTAAAAACTGTATAAATAGTGATTAAGAAAAGATTACATTAATTTTCTTTTTGCTTTATTATATATCGATAAATAATTTACATTAAATTGATTTGTGATATCAAATATATGCATCGCTGATCTTAATACAAATATGTGTATGTATAATGTATATATATAATATATATATATACACATTTTACATACATGCAATGAGAGCTTATGAGGTAAAATGTTTAACTGAATATTTATTTCTGAAATGAAATAATCTTATCTTAGAATTGATAACACTCTTCACAATGCACAGTATTAATATTATTAATATCTTACTTAATGAGGACGACTTTTCAAGCACATATATTTTTATACATATATATTTAAAAATTAGAATTTATTAAGTAACATTTTTATTGATATATCGAGTAACGAATCAATTTAAAAAGCTAATGATATTGATATCATTTATATATAAATAATGAATAAAAGAAATAATTGATAATTTGAATGTTGTTATATGTAAAACATAGAATTTGCTTATTCTAATTAAATAAAATATTCTCTTTTAAAAGTATCCTAGTCATGCAAAATTTAATATTTTATTATGTATAAGAAAGTTATATAAAGAGAATTGATAAATAGAATAGATGTTCGCAACGCGTAACAGCATAGCATTCATTATAAATTTAATAAGCTGCTTTCATTTATTTATACCATAGTGTGCATAGAAATCGTTGTGAATAAATGGACGTTTAACATTTTCACGAGCCGAGCACGTGCAACAATAGTAGGTGGCGTATTGAATTTCAAAACGTTGAGGTATATCGACAAGATATCGAATATTTCAGCACGTTTCAACGAATCTCTAAAATAGTAAAATATCGAACATCGACTTTCTCTGTACATTATACATATATATTTATGTTTATACAAATTAAAATTCACAACACGAATAACTATATAAATAATACAATATTCCTGTAAAAGAAGAAGAATTAACAAAACTCTCAATCTCTATAATAAATAAAAAACTACTCTAAGAAATTAAAAAAACTAAAGAATATGATTCTTTTATTTTTTTCTGTTTTCTTCTTTTATATAAAAATTTATATTAGATTTAAAAAATTTCTTCATGTTTTTTTGTTTTTGTTTTCGGATATAATAAACGCATTTAGATGCATAATGCACATTTACAGGACATTTTCCCATATGTTTGAATGCGTTATCACTGATGTCCATGATGTTGCTGTAGATTCTGCAATTCATATGCGAGATGACAGCATTCTGAGTCGCTCCATCGATGTTGATCGCGGATTTTATCGATATTCGGTCCTGATGCATCCGACATCTGACAGAAAAAAAAATAGTTTATTTATATATATATATATATATATATAATGTAGTAGAAATCCATTTCCCAGTAACGGGAAATAATACAAATAATCATTTGTATTATTTCGAAAAAGATAATTAGACATCTATTCATGCAGTAAATTTTAGGAAACAATTAGTAAATGTATATTATATGCATATATCATCTCTTTCCATTTAAATTATATAATTAAAATTTTTATCAATTTATATGAATTTTAAATATTTTAGCGTATAATTACTATAAGTATATAATAATTAGTATATTATATTAATTATTATTGAAAAATTAAATATATATGATATAAAACTGAAATGACATAAAACTTATTAGACATTACAGTGCAGTGAAAAAGAAGGAAGAATGATTTATTTCGGCAACTATATTAAGGGATTACTTAGGAGATATTCGTGTAAAACGCACTTACGTTCGAGCAAAAAGAGAGCAGCGATTGATCTGTATATTTACTGCACAGGGGCGATGTATGATGAGCACGTTGATCTTGCGTCGTCGGCTGCGGAATCTGGCCGTTTGCGGCAGTTTCCAGATAATCCTTGTTGCTCGCTAAACTACATCCTCTCGTTCTAACATCTAAAATTTTATTACGTAAAATTTCATTATGTAAATCGCGTCATGTATACATTGAGCTATGTATATAAGCTATGAGAAATTACGTAAGCCTTTCACTGCTTCGTTTAATCGATTTTTTAACTTTGACTTCAGATTTAATCTCGGACTTTAAGCCCTCGAACACGCCAAACTCTTATCAACGTTTAACTGATATCCGTAGTGTATTATTTTTAGCTTATCTGTGAGACATATTTTAGCCTTCTTTGTTTATTTTTTAATCAACTAAAAAAGGAAGGATTACATATATTTTAATTTAGATGCAATGTAATTTTTGATATAAATTTACTATTTTTTATATTTGTTTATATATCTCATATATATGTTTAGCGTAAAATATATGTGATTCATGCAAAAGCATTGATAGCAAAAATTTTTAAAGATTCGATTAATCGTTTTATTTCGCTCAAATTATTTAAACAGAGATCTGTATCTAAAGTATTTTGTTAGTTCTCAGACATTTTCAAAAATATTGATTTAATCGCCGACGCAGTCTTTTGTTTGTCGGTTACTTATTAAAGAAATCAAGGTAAAAAGGGATCAAAATAAGACTCCAGGCAGTGAAACAATGAAATATCGAGCACAGTGGACTTGACAAGGACAAAACGAAGGACACGACGTTCCGTAGGATTTAAGGGGACACCTTGTGTACTCGCCATCGAGTGGGTGGACTGACGGATGGCATGATCCTGAAACAGGCAAGGATTCGCCTTCCAGCGCGACTTCCACCATTTGGGTTTCCTCGAGTGTCGATTGCCGGACTTCGGGACATTGTTGCAGCTACACGTGCTGACTGAGTGCGTTGATGGTCGAGGGCCCCATCGTATTCCTCGTGTCCACTTGATGCTGCGAATCGTCCTGGACACCTCGGCCCTCACTTCGCCGTTCAGGAAGCAATACAATACCGCAACAAAGAAGCCCTTTGGAAACGTAGAAATAACTTCTGTTCGATCATTTTAATCTTTAGTGAATTAGATTTTTTCTAATGCGAATTTTTATAAAACTAGTTTTCCTTGTATACATCGTATTAATTGTATAAATATAAAAAAATATTTAATATGATATTAATTATATATAATATTATTTATTTTTTATCATTATTTTAATACTATTTAAAAAAAAATAATTTTAAGAAATGCAATATGGAATTGAAATTTTAATGAAGAAAAATTATTCTGTACAATAAATATTATAATAGAGGAACATTTTTTACTATAGATCTAAAAAAACAGGTTCCGCCTTTAATGCAATTTTGATGTATAAGATTGAATGATGGTATGAAGCTGCATAAATTCAATAAATAATGCTTTTAAGGAAATCAAGTTTAAAATAAAAAATGTCCTGCTCAGTGTACATATAATTGAATTTTGAAAATAAAAGTTTACTTAATGACTTAGTGTTAGTGAATTAATTCTTGCATATCATCTTTCAACTAGTTCAGATGCGATAGTCATTAAGAAGTTTGCTAAGAGCTCTTGCGGCTTTAAGACAGTTTGGTGTTTGGTATAAAGTAGATTACCGTTATTAGTAATTATTAATAGCATATTATATACCTGAAAAGACGCAAACAGCTGATCGCAAAACAACCATACGATTTCTACGGTCTCGTTTACGCCGATGCTGTACGACATCCCGATAAAAAACGCGTAATGGACGCCAAAAAGTGGCACCAGGACTAAGGTACTTCGAGCCCACCGTCTAAATATATCGAAACATATCAAATATATACAAAATTAATCGAAAAATTATATTAAAATAATATTAAATATATTAATATTACATATAAAAATACAATTTTATAATATAATTTTATGTATATGTCCCACTTTTCTCTAAAAATTTTATCAGGAAAAGTAAGACTCTCTTTCTTGTTAAATTTGTTTTATCGTCCTCTCATTACTATTAAGAAAACTATTATTTAAAAAAGTCAATGTGCTTTTTTATCAAACGAGAAATCAATTTTTATTATTGCAATTTATATTGCAATTGTTAAAAACTGATAAATCATTCTGTGACTATTTTAATCAAACATCATAAGATTATGTCTTCAAAATCATGACGATCGTTATGAGAGGACCACCCTGTATATTAATATCTTTTCACATAAAGCTTACTTGTATCTTTGCGTTTCCTCCGACATGGTGGACTTGAGTTTTACCAGCAGCACTCTCACGATGTTGATGAAGAGGACGAAATTGATCTGACGTGAGAGCAGGGAGAAGTGACGAATTTATTTGCGACTGAATTAATTATGGCTCAACAAACCTCTTTCTGGCAACCCTAAAGTGCTTACCAAAATAGAGAGCATCGTAGGAACTCGTATGAAGAGAAATAAGAGAGGTTTCACATTGGTCGTCCAGCAATACGTATCCTCGTATATGATCCTCGTGACTACCCAGGGCAAAATAAATACAGCTGGCAAACCTGAAAGAGGAAATTGTGTGTGACGACCGTAGAGAGACAAATTTACCAGAGATAATCCATCACGTTTATTAATAATAACATTTCTCCAAAAGCGAAAATGAATAATTTGATGAAGTATTTTCGACGAATATCAGTGATTTTCATGCTCGTAGAAAACAAATGTCTTTTTTCACAAGTACTAATTAAAAATTAATTTTAAAATAGTAGAGTCACAAAAGAAATATCAACATAATGAGGTGAAACTCAAGATGGAAATTGATTTAACGCTGTTTGGATATGTGCATGGTAAACTATAACTCGAAGTGATGTATGTCATTGTTGTTTGCATCGCTATGTAACTTTCGGAGTTCAGAGATGCAACAGTCGATACGATGTCATATTTCATGTATAGAACTATGTCGTGTTTTCGATAACACTTGAGAAAATCTCTGAACATCAAAGAATTTTTCTTTTAGAAAAATGTCTTTTACAGTCAAAGACGATCAGCATATTTCAAAAGAGATATCCAAGTATTTGAAGCAAATTTATACATTGTCTTTCTCATTGTATTTGCGGTTCACCACGACTTTCATTAGCAAAAATGTAGTCTTTATCTTTTATTTGTTTAATCTCAAAAAAAAAAAAAAAAAAAAAAAAAAAAAAAAAAAAAAGCTAAATTAAACGCTTATTTAAAAAACATTGCAGATATTAATCAAACAAAATAAAATTTATTAGCTGGCAAAGTAATGAATAAAAACCAAGTGATTAATAAATCTATAAATGTGTGAAATCGATTATTTCTAAAGATAAAATTTTACCCACCCCATCCGAAAGCGACGTAGCCCGCGATACTGGAGTTGGCGTCCGTGAAGAGTGCTAAGAAGATCAGATTGTGTAGATATATACCCTCCATCAGGATCCAGGAATAGTTGGCCAGGATGAAGTACTGCCACAGACTGGTAAACATCTTGCATTGCCAATTGCTTTCCTTTTCTTCATTGACCAGCCAGTAACCTTCGTCGTCCTTGATCACAGAGTCCGCCAGCCCGATGCCGGACACGAAGAGCAGGTCCTTGAGCAGCGCCATGAACGCTCGCATCACGAACGAGACGAACAGATGCATGTGCAATATGTTCCGGGAACATCGCAATTTCCTACGTCCGATGGGAGACAAACTTGAACGTGGCAACGCGAATTCCGTTTCGATTAAAATGTGCGGGATTTCGTGCGGCGCCATGAGACATACACACGATATCTGACTTTGAAGTTGGTCCCAATTGAAACTTGACGAGGACGAAACTTCCGAACTTTGTTATCAATTTAAATGTAGAATTGTCAATTTATCACTCAATTTCTCAATCTGATTTTGTGATATTAAAATCTCTACTTTATAACATGATCAATCGGAAGAAATGAAAGTACAAAGGTATATTCTCTTTAAAATGCTCTACAAAATGTTGGACAATTTTTTTTGTTAATGTTCTTTATTAATTTTTTTTAATTATACTTTGAAACGTAAGCACGAAACTGTTAAAAATTTTTAAAGCGAGGCGCCTCGTTAAAAAATCACATGCGCTGAAATCATATTTGCATAATTATACTTACTTGATAGTCGCCAGAATGCAAAACGCAATGATGAGAGTGAATAGCGAAATAGTGTAGCCGAGTTTCGAGATGGTTTTCACGATCGGGAAAAATTTCTGCAACACGCAATTGCATTTTAAATAAAAATTAATTAATTAGTACTAATGCACCTGCTCACAATTTTAATTAATAAAATAATTAGATATCAATATGGGTGGTAACCTTATAATTATAATTTTTAGTTAATTGTAATTTTATATTAATAACTAAGAAGTAATTCTCTAATTTCTGCATAAAATATTATTATAAGCATTGATTATTTTTAGAGATTTTAATAACAAATTAAATAATAAAATAAATCAACTTGTTAATGCGCTGGTGAGTGTCGCTTTTAAATACCATAATTCTATCTAACACTCGATACACTCTTAAATAATGCTTTGTAAAACAATACTGTCGTAAATGTGATCTCTATTCAAGATACGTTACAAAATTTAAGTATGTAAATTCCTTCATTAATGGCCCATAAATTCTTTTAGTCTTCTTTATTACATTCTTTTCTACTCAATTTTCCACTAATGGCATTCCTTATTTTATTGCGTATTCGCTTTCATGTCCATAGTACTTATAATGTTTAAGAAGATTATTTCTTATATGTTATCATTTCTAATTATCGCCGAAAGCTTCTCGTTATATAATGTTTATGGTAAGGTTGTCTATTTACTACAGAATACGATATATTTTAATTGAATTCGTTTGTATTAAAATTGCGATAAATAAATACGCTGGCATTTGATACTTTCATTCGATAAATTTCTCATAAAATTTAAGTCGAATTTCAAATGTACATGTATGTAACATTGCACTTAAATTGAATAACTGCGTCCAAAAATTGGAGAAGGGAATTATTTTTCCCCATTAATTTCTCTATTTATTTTATCTAGTTTATTTTCAGATATATTAATTATATCGCAGATTGAAAAATTTATGGAAAGAGAAATTGATGTTTGATAAAAAAAAAAAAAATCCATTCCAGGTTGAGGATTCTGATTGCACGAGGCGTTACATGACGAAGGAAAACCTGACTATCGGCTTTAAAAATCCAGCACGAAAGTTCTCGGAGAAAAAAAACTTCTTAACATTTTCCAGCACCCGCGGTTTTCTTGACTAAGTATAGTCTTGTGCACTATAATAGTGTACTTATTGGCTCGTTTGTCTGCTCGCTCGTTTCATTATTCAAGTCTGGAAACTAATTTTACGACAATGCCCTGGATACTCGCGACTGTGTAAAGAGTCAATGACGACCCCACCCGGGGACAGAACGTCATTTGCAGCACTCATTTCCTCGTAAGAGCGAAGTGACTGACGTCACGTCACCGTGTGATTCCAATTGATCTCTTCATCTCCGCCGTTATTCTCAAGGCAAATGTATTCCCCCGATCGATCAATTGACATACATGATTATCTAAATCTCTAACAACAGAGAGTTCATCTAAATTCCGAATCATTTATCAATGCCGTTCTTCTTACATCTATTTACCTTAATAAGAGTGACGTTATTCGCCTGTATGTCCGACATGTTCACCAGGACGGTGACCAATTGTTCTTGATAGCACTGGCTGTAATTACTCCACGTTTTGTGGGTGTCGTCATTTATGTACCACTGGCCATTCGGCATACATTGCTTCGACGCGAATGCCTGAAAAAAATGTGTTTGTTATTTATACTTTAAAGGTAACAGACAAAATACAAATTATCTGAAGTTGTACAAGAGAAGTTGCAACAGATCTCAATTTAAATTCAATCGAATTTACACTTGAGTAAAATTTTACAATTCGCGAATTTCAAGACGTCTAAGCACAAGTGCCGAAAAGTATTGTAGAAATGAACGAAACGTCTGTTAAAGTTTTGCCTAAGAAAAAGTAGAAGTTGAATTTGTCGACGAAGCGTTTGGATACGTTTGGAAAACTTTTGACGTCAGACGAATGCCGGAGGCATCTCAATCAGCTGATTTCTCAATTGGGTCAGAAAAATGAATTTCACCGATCGATCAATGAAGATCTCGCAAGATCAGAGCACGACATTGTTAGATCGAGAAACTAATTTAATTAAGTTTCTCGCAGCTTTAGACGCGCTTTCTTGATATTAATTCGTTTCGATCGCAAAACTTTTATGTTGAATGTATACTTATGTAATTCAACCGGTAATATAAGTGCGAATTATGTTGATTCTGAAAAAAATTATTACATCAATCAATTCAATTATACAATCGCGAAACTATACATACACGAGTCTCGAAACCCATTATGTAAGAGGGACAGGGTTCAACTGCTAATTGTCCAGGTGCTGTCGAATTCCAACATAGTATTTCGTCCCAAATTTCCGGGCACCAACCTGAACAAAATCGCACCCAAATATTAGCACAAGAATTAATGGCGAAACACTTAAAGAAGCATATATTTGTCTCCACTTTTATTTTTATTTTATTTTCAGATTTAAACTGAGCTGTCAATTTTATGTGTTGGGAGCACATAATTTAAATAGCTCATATCTGTCGTGAGTGTTTATAAAATATATACTTTTTATAAATATTATATATAAAATATGTATATACTATATATATATATTTTATATATAAAATATACAAATGTAATATTCCTTGAAATAATTAAGGGATGAAAAATTATCTAAAAAATAGGTAAATTTTAAATAGCTTTAAGTTTAAATAAAAAGGAGAAAACTCGCGAATTTCTTCGTTATTTTCACCTATTTGTAAAAAGTTCGTGAGTTAAAAAAATTTAGTCTATATCATATTATTCATCTTTAAGAATCCATTCTTGAAATTGTTATACAATGATTTTTAACGGAGTTATAAATGATCAAAGTAAAAATGACATTTTCTCTACAATTTGCGATAACTGAATGAAAAATCTAAATTTAAATTTAAAAAAAACGAGTTTGCAGGGAAAACTTCAGGCTTTAACGTAAAAATGTCAAAAAATTTATTCAAATCTTTTTATGTATGCGACATTTCTACAAAGTGAGAAGAAAATTTTTCATTTCGTTATGTTCGTCATTTTTTGTATGTAAAAAATATCAGAATTGAAGAAAATAATAAAGCTATGACCCTTCGAAAGTAGAGATTTAAAGCTTTAAAATCTTTTTCTTTTTTTAAATTTAAATTATCATTTTTGGAAACAAAGTTACGGTTATTTAAAATTTGCCTATTTTTTGGACAATTTTTTATCTCTTAATTCTTTTGAAGAGTGTATAAAATTGCTAACAAATTGAAATATATCTTTCTCAGTCTCTCTTTAAATAATATACAACGTATGTATATATATTTAGATATCTACTATTTCAGTATTACGAATAATTATGAATATCGTGGTTCGATGGAAATAATGTTTCTGTTCTTTGATATATGATAAAATACAATACATGTAGATCTAATTATATTTAAGTATTTCCACGCGTGATAATTAAATATGCTTTGTATTTGAACATTGCCGTAAGCTAGCATAAATTGCGTATATGGAAGTTACGCTATTCTCAAAGCTAAGTGAGAACATCACCCTTCCAGTTGGACAAGCAATCTTCAGGTTTAACATGGCTTATAGCAATTCATTAGGCAGACATGTGCGAACGGAAATGCATTTAGTCGTTTTCGTGTATATATTATATGTATATCGCGTTTGCGTGTGCTCTGTATCTATAATACGAACGGCTATGTGGAGCAGCAGGATTACCAGATTTGCACGAAACAATGCTATATGCTCAGTATTATCGAGGTTCATTATACACGTACGCGGCGTATTACAAGACCAGGTGTACTGTTCATCCGCTGATGCACTATCTACATTGCAGTACACAAGCTGCATTCGAAGTCGTGGCGAAGCCTTCCGATCGGTGTCGGATTTATTGGTCTTCGAGCTAATAAGATTTGCAAAGCCGAGATTCCAATTCGAATTTGGATGATGACACGAAATGATTCGGAGAGACGTGAACAACGGCATTACTTTATTTACGTATTATTTTAATTACGCGCTTTAAACATTTAATGCGAGTTTAAGAAACCCTCTTGCTTTTTTGTTCACTATGATTTAATTTTGTCTATTTACGTTATAATTTATTTTTAATTTATATATATATATACGCGAGAGCGTATATACATATATAAATTTAGAAAAATTATGAAACAAAATTCTATCTCAATTTTTATATAAATTAAATATATATAAAAATTATATTTATATATTATATATAAATATATATAAATTAAAAATAAATTATGAAACAAAATTCTAGTCCAACTTATATAAAAGATAAAAACAAATGTTTAAAAAAAGATGGAAAAAGTACATGATACTTTTGATAAAAACGCGGTAGAAGATATTATATTATTTAATAAAAAAAGTTTGCTGGCTTGAGTCAAGTGCTACCTAAAATTTAAAATCCTGGTGCTGTCAATTATGTATAATGACAAAACTGAATTATGTAAAAAAAACAGCAAATTATTAAGAGTGGACTTTTAACTCCTGGTTGTGTGATGGCTAGAATTTATATCGCGATGCTTTTTCTTCGATCCTTTATTCTCTCAAGCTGCATTTAAACACTTTGCTTCTTAACAGCCGCTAACATTAAAATAATTTACTGGAGCTTTTTCGTAATTATCTTCATTTTAACTCCAGTTTTTCTCGAGTTAAAGCGTTTCTCTGTCAGTTAAATAACTAAGTATAACTATGTGAGAATGCAAGGCTTTGAAGGAGAATGGAAAGCTTTTAAAAAAGACTCTTACAGTTAATGCACTTGATTATCCTGCGCGTTATTAATTGAAAAATATTTATACGTGTGTTGAAATATATCCGGATGCGTAGAGTAATAAAATAACTACCATTAAATAAACACTGAAAGAAAAAAAATTGTTGATTATATCTTTCAACTAAATTACGAGGGATTGGTCACTGAGGTAATTTTTCGTACAAGGGCTAGGTAATTCAACGGTAATCCAAAGGAAATTTTGGATAATCCAAGGTAATTTTTGGTAATTCTAAATAATCTATAGTAATCTTAGGTAATCTTGGGTAACCTAATGGGAAATCTAAGTAATCTAAGAGTAATATCAAATAATCTGTAGGTAATTCTAGGTATTCTTAAGGTAGTCTGTAATAATCTGAGGTAATCTAAGGTAATCTTGAATTTTTGAAGTTAGTGAACATTATTGATAAATCGATGTTCTCGAAGATATTTGGAAAAATCTGGGGTAATCTTAGAAAATTTGAGGTAATTTTAAATATTCTAAGGTAATCTTAGGCAATTTAAGGTAATATTTGGTAAGCTTAAGTAATCTGAGGTAGTATTAGGTAATCTGAGGTAATTTAAAGGTAATCCGTATCAAGGGTAATTTTTTGTACACTATAACTAGTGACCAACCTCTCGCTAAATTTCTATTTTGTTATTGAACATATATTAGTATTTAAGTCAAATATATACGTTCTGTTAGATTTAATATTATATTTAATTTAAATATTTTTACATATTTAATTAACAAAATATTATTTAGTTGAAAGATTTAGTCAAGTAGTTGACAATTTTTTTTTCAGTAAATAAGATGATGTAACGCGCGTTAAGCAACATATATATATATATATATATATCTACATATACACATACATATAAAACTTTCTATTATACAAAGACGTAATAAAAAAAAATCCGCACGAAACTCGTTTAGCTTTAAGCTTCGTAATCGAAATGTCACTTGTGTAATTAGCGGCGGCATATCGACTGCATCGTCTGATTTCGCCCGAGTTGCTTAAACAAGCCCGCATCATGATGCGAGATTAATTATGACATTAATTGCTCCGGAGACATTCTCTCTCTCTCTCTATACATGTATACAAGCACTGTTTGTTCACACGCGTGTGTACACACGCAAAATGTGAGCCGCGACACGTGTATATGAACGCTTGACATGAGTTTGTTATGCGTTGCGCGTGTGCATCATATCTCGGCCTTTCCAGTCTCTGCATTATGCAAATTTGTCGCTTGTGAGTGTGTTTATTTTCAATTATTTATTTGCCGCAAATTTGTCGGTCAATATAGACGGTGCGAATTATTTTGCCTCTCGAAAACAAAAATACATAAACTGGCTTGCGATAAAAATTAAAAAAAATTTAACATCTCTCTCTCAATTTTTGTCATAATTTTAAAGATGTCGAAAATTTTTTTAAATCGATACATCTCGCGCGACTGATTAAAATATTATAAAGCACGCGCTATTGATTTCCTTACGTCGTATATTAGTTAATAAATATTGCAAAATAAAATTCTTTAATTGAAATAATAACAATATTGAAATTTAGATTTATTTTGTAAAAAAAATTAAAAGATTAAATTGGAACAAATTAATTTATACTATTAACTGTAATTGTATCGAAGTAACGGATATTTTTATCAAAGTAAATTTTTATTTTTTGAAAAAATCAATGTATTCACAGGAAAAAAGCAACAATAAACTTGGGAATTTGCGAGAGGCTTGACTTTGATACATACGAGTATCGATTTAATATACCTTTTAAGAGTGGATATAAATGTGGTAACAATGCTTAATTAAATAAACACAATAATAATATTTAATTTAAATAAACACAAATATGGTAAGAAATAGATATCGTTAATTGAATGAATTTCCCTATAATTGAGAAATTAATATATGTATAATATTATTTACGATTCTATTACGAGAATGTTGATTAATTTGATTGCGTCACGTTCAACATAATTCCAACATAATTAAACGTAATTTGCCTATTGTGTTTATTTACGACTAATATAACAAAATTTAATCAAAATGCCATATCGTTTGAGATATCCAATGATCAATCATTTTACGTAATAAAGGAACGACACGAGAAGTGATCGGAGTATGTGCTAACATGACGATTATAAATGATCTAACACGAAGCAGGCGATTAAATACGGCAATTTAAGATCATTCGTGCATATGGTGATCAGTTTTACTAAACGGATGCTTAATTGTGTCAGCCGTGAAACACGCAAACGTGTCTCTCTCTATCTCTTTCTCTCTTCGTCTCTCGCTGAAATATCAATAAATTAAAGCGTGACAATATTTCGCGCATTAAAATTTCTGGAAATATTATTCAAATACTATCTTGCTTACCTGTTCCCAATATATTTCCGTGCTTACAGCGTTCGGATTCCGTTTTCAATATTTCGAGCATCAGGTTCTGGATCCGGTCGATGTCACCATGTCTCTGAAACGAATTCAACAAAAATATGAATTAATATTGACAATTAAAAGTAAATTCTGATTGCGCAATTCGATTTCATAAATTTCGTTTTTAAAGCTCGTATTTTAATTATTAATCTGACTTCGTCCTATATCTTTCCGGAATTTAGGTATCTTAAATCTCTATTTTGATAGTATAGTAACAAATATATGATCACCCGGGGAATAATGCTGTAAGAGAAAATCTATTAAGAGCAAAGCATAAGCGCATATCTAACGATAAAACAAAGGGAGAAGGGAATTCAATAGAAATATAAAATGATCCCTAAGGCAAATATTAAGATTAAATAATGTTATGTTGCTGTACTATTTCACTTTGATACAATGATGCTTCCATTTATTTATATAGTAACACTTTTAAATTTTTATTTTATTCGTTTATAATTTCATATCTACACAAACCGAACAATACGAACTGAATCGGAGATTATTTAAAAATTTTCTCTCTTTTTCTCTCTCCCTTTACGTTAGTAATGGATACAAATTAATTTGTTGATATTTTATATGTAGACTTTTTTCATACTTCAGATAAAATATTCATTAAATAAAGTCAAGTTAAATAAACAATTTCATATGCTCTAAATCGAGATACCGTTTATCGCACAAATATTTCGAGTCTCTGTATTTAATTTACGTATCAAAATCGGTATATTAAAACGTCAAAATATATGTAAAATGTATGGAAAATGTTAACTCGTGTCTGTTTTCACGTAAAAATCAAAGATTTATTTCGGATAAACACATTTGTGATTTTTAGCTTGCCAAAGTTGATATCTTCGATTGTATTTTACATTTGTTTTCTGTTACAATATTTTCGAGAAATTCTACAATTCATTTTTTGCAACAAAGAAAAAAATATATGACAAGATTAAATGTTTACACTAAAAATATTTTAGATTTCTATCTACTTCATTACCATATTTGAACAATATACCTATATATAAATGTATATATTCAGAAATTTTATCGCTATTTTCAACAGATTTTTATCTCAAAATAAAGCTTTAATATTTAAAAAGTAATTCACCATCCTCTATTTTCATTAGCATAATAGCATCGTATAGCTTATTGTATCGTAGTTCGTAGTATGCAAAATTATTTAACACGTAATCATAGTTAATTAAAATTTTTCTTTCTCTTATATTTATATCATAATATTATGATATTGTATAAATAGAGGTAGAGAAGATTAATTAAATTGCGGTGACCATGAATAAAGCTAATGAAATTTTCCCTTATATTGTATCGTTTCATACTTCTTTTACTCTTTTTGTAATTAAAAAAATACTCATACTTTAAAAGAAAAGAAAAAGAATACAAATTGTGCAGTTAAGAAAGAACCGATAAAAAAAATGTGTTGCATAATTTCCGAATATTTATTTTCTTTTTTTACGTTTTCTCCTTCTTTATTATTTTAATAATTAAAATGTTTTGTAAGACATTGGAAATAATGAATATGCATTATCTGTACGTTCTATCTTGTGAAAACTTTTGACTCTGTTCCAGCCATTTTCATGATTATTTTCTATTGATTCACATCTTCAAGATATAAAACCAAACATTTTTATATACGTCTATATAAATTATATTGGTCATCGTAAAAGATTATATAACATATAATCTTTTACGTATAACGTATAGGTATACATATTTTGCTGCAAATATCGACATTATTAGAAATTTGAAAAAAATCGAAGAAATTGCATTAATACTAATTTATTAATTGAGAAAAGAAAGATTCAATGTTTATACTCAAATAATATAAATATAAAGGATTGAAGAAAATAGGCTTAATAAGAACCGTCAGAAATAAAAACGCAATAATTTTATATGTGTGTATTTATTCTTTGTTTGTTCAGTTAAACACACAAATTTATTACGTTTTTATTTCCGACGCGCCGACTTTTATTAGCTCAGTCCCTTCAATCCTTTATATTAATACATTAGAACTTATTTCTATCATAAGTTAATTAATATAATAGAGATTCTTTGAGATAACTTCGAGATAGTAGCATAATAAAAAATATGTATACTTATATAGGGAACAATAAATTCAGGTCAAATAGACGATATAAATTTTCATAAAGTATTCAATCAATCATATAAAGTATGTAATTAACAAAATTTGCGAGAAAAAAATCACTGTTCAGAAGAAACTCTTGCCAGTATAATCAAAGCAAGATAATTCCAATAATTGCAATTAAAGAATTACAAGTAGTTGAAAAAGAAGTTTCCAATATTCAGAAATAATTTTGCAGAATCAAAATAAAATCAATTATAGTCTCCGATATTCGAAAAAAAGAAAAATGAAAGAAAAGATAAACAAAATACATAATTAAAAATTCAAATAATCATAGATAATTATAGAAATTTCAAATTATGGCATTACATATACGACTCGAAATTAAATTTATCATTAACAAACATTAGATATAACGATCACAAATATTTCATATTATCTTACTTTACATTTCCACGTTGCATTACGTTGCATCGATGCGCTTTTTTGTTGCAAGTTTTGAAATCGCGAGTTGCACATTATTGCACTATTGCATTAGAATATCTAATTATATCGTAATATTGTACAAGCGCACAGAAAACTCCTTCTTGCATCTATTTTCTGCACTTTTTTTCTCTAGCGTCTAATTATTGCCTAAGTTCAACAATGATATTTTAAACCGCATTATCAAAGCTGATATCCCTCTTAAAAATATTTTTATTATCTCACTAATATTTTTATCAAGCGACAAAAATTGTTAGCGATCAATAATATGATCTGTCCCCACAATATGGCTACCGATTATTAAAACTGCAAACTAATATGCAAAACAGCATTGTTATAAATACATAAATTATTAGACAACGCTTCCTATATAGAAATTAAAATATCAATATCACTTTCATGAATAATTTATATATCATATCGCAGAGCTTATTTGAGTTCAAGAGTTTATCGCAATAATATTGTATTATAAATTATTATTCGTATTATATATTAGCAATTGTTATTATCAATGTGAAGAGGATAAAGTAATAGTTTAAAAAGGTTTAAAGGATTTTATATAAGAATGACATTAATATAAGAATGACATATTCACGTTTACAACTATCCTCGTAAAGAAATTCAGGTGATTTGCCTTCATTTATGGCTACTAGTTTCGAGCTTTTGGTTCATAGAAACCCATTGGAAAGCTTTCAAAATGGTTTCAATAGTTCACTGCACATTTCTTCTCTCGCGTTCACCTTCCACGATACTTTGACGAGGCAATAAATTGTTTATTTTCCGTCAGACTTTTCCACGCTACCGTAGATAGAAGCAAGAGCTCTATCCCATAAAATGCATCCCGCGTATACACAACTATTCTAGGTCGCTTGCTCAAAATAAACTTCGCGGATAATTCATCGCGACAATTTCCGGCCAGCGCATTCCTCTTTATCTTACATCTACATTCGTGTTAATTTATTCCTGCAACAATCGAGGATAATTTCGAGGGTAGTTTAGCCGTTCCGTATACTACAAATTTCACTTTTACGCTGATGAAACTATCAGTGTAATTATTGTAATTAATTCTTGTAAAGCGATAAATGTGCACGCAAGAATTCTTGGCAGATTATCTCTTCTCGCAGAAATAACTACAATAAATGTAAAAAATAATTTTAAAAAAATGATGAAAATTAAATAAAAATTGTACAATAAAAATTAATGTTTAACATAGTATATATAGGGTTACAATTTTGACCAAATAATGTTTCGGAGAAAAATTTAAAAATACATTATTTCAGAGATTTATTCTTTACATAATTTCCTTAATAGAGAGCACAAGCTATAAAAAAGTTTTCTTCGTTTTTATTATATGGAAAAAGTAATGTGTGGATTATATAAATTTCTCATAAAGAGTTTCAACGAACCGTAACAGAGCAAAAAGAGAATACTGTCGTTATTTTTCTAATAATTTCCAAAAGAACAACTTTAAGAAACATATTGCATGAATTTATATATGCATATCTTTCAGGAATATAAATTTTTTTCTCGTCGTTTCACACAATATAACATACATAAGATAATAATTTCACCTGACAAAATTGTATCCGAAGCCATATTTTTCCGCTTTTTATGTCTCTCTTTCAGCATCTAAATGCGCATATATTTTGTTGCATATAGAGAGAAAATTAATTTATTTACCAACTTTCCGCGTGTAATTTTATATATATATATATATATATATATATATATTTGAGCGAACGAGTCCCAAACGCAAATATGTCAAACGCGACGCACTGTCTTGGAAAAGGTGCATTTATACTTCACTTGTCGAGAGAAATATATTTTTATACCTCCGTATATATAACTTACAAACGGATCCTCATCTCGCTACATATACGACGTAAACGAGCATCCATATATATATATATATATATATATATATATATATATATTATATCTGTCGGAAAACTCCTCTACGGTTGGCAAATGAACGGTCATTCCGCACGGAAAGTTAGCCTCTCTATTGGCCTCTGGATTTCGCTCGAAAGCTCGAACCTGAGCTTTTTCTGCCGAGAGGACGTTTATCGTCGCATTGTCGAGAGCGTTTGAGATACGACGACTATCAATAACGTCGATTGCCGATACCTTGTGTCAGAAAGACACGAAATATACGTTCTCCCGATGTTTCAAATTAGCCCTTTCGACAAAATATCCGCTTTGCATTATCCGTGAATTATACACAGTAGAAAAATTTGTGTTTTCTTGTTAAAACCGGTCTCCGGTAAAATTTTTGTATTAAATATTTAACACATTCATGTGTTAATTTAACATATAAGTGTTCTGTTAATTGAACTTAAATGTTAAATTATTAAAACAACTGAAAAAAATGTAAAAATAACACAATGTATGGTATATCCATTTTTAATTTTACACAATAAATATGTTCTGCTTTATTAGTGTCTAAATCTGCTTTATAAAATCTAAAATTAATATATTATTTGTTAATTTTTACATGCAAAGTTTGTTAATTTTACACAAAATTTATTTTAAATTATTTGAAGTTTTGCATTTATTTTGTGCTAAAATATTAACACAATATTTGCGTCTTTATTTAGCATATCCATATTATGCTAAATTAACACAAAATTTTTTGTGGACCGTTTGGGACATGTGATATCTGTTAAAAACAGAAAATTTTCAACTGTGTATATACGATAATAATTGTATCCTAGCTTCATCTCAATTTCGTAAGCAGGTCGTATAAAAATTACGAAAAATGTAGAAAATGCATTCTGGGAAAGGGAGAGAAAGAAACATATCCTGGAAATATATTCAAGATTTCTCTAACGTATATTTGTATTTGTATGTATGTATGTAAAAGATTTTTGTAATATACCAAAAATTTATTACATAACAATTTCCTCAGTAACAGTTTATACAAAGTACAGCAAACTCTGTACATGCTATACATATTACATGTAAAGCGTCCTCAAACCCTTTGGGAAAAGTAGATAAACGATATACCGGAGTTACACGATTCATTCTCCTAACTTTAATGCACACGTGACAAATAAATGACAGTTAGTCAAAAGTGTAATGGCATAAAATATAAATTCACGACAATCTGCATCTGTACCTCGGGGATATAAAAGCTTTTCCGAGGAAAGAGAGTCGGATTATTTATTTGGACGCATTAAAAAGTTAGGAGAAGCGATGAGTCACTCTCCGAATTCTTCGAGTATAAGATTGGACCACATGATGTGAATAAAATCAGTACACAAATCTGTCTCAAAGGCAAGGAAGTGTCAGGGAAATTTGTTATTGAACAAAACCGACAATCGCTCGAAAAGGTTGAAGTTTCGCTTTGACTTCGTTCGAAGAGTGCGGACTTTAGCGAATACATGCATAGCAAAGGGCACTTTAAAGCAAAGGGTTTGTTTTCCTGCGATGAAGGAAATCCGCATATGGGAAAATGTAGGACACGGGTTACTTTTTGCCGTTCTTAACGATAGTATAGTTTATGATCCGCGCAAAGCTTTCGCGTATAAACTCTCGTTCACGAAGAGAAAAAAATCCTGTTATATCCATTACGTACATGCGTGCAAAAAATACGTTGTACGAGCTTGGAAAAAACTCGTTGGGGACTCGCGTCTGCTCTCGAAAGCACACAGATATTATTAGAAACGGATACATCTCGTAATAAGCTGTCGATAATAAAATATCGGAACGAATCAGAAGCACGACGTTTTTTTTTTATTTTTCGGAAAAGTTCTTCTTATCTTACCTTCAAATAAAAATTTGAAGATAAAAAAATTCGCAGGACTCGAATGTTTTCTGATTAAGCGAGAATAAAGGACTTTGACACTTATTATAATTTAAATACTTGGTGAAAAAATATAATCATCGTCCTTAATTTTGTGATTATTTAAAATATATATTATAAACAATCAAATAAATTCGTAAATGTTAAAGCTTAGATTTCTTCGGTCAGTAATATTATGCAATATATTATAATCGTTAAAGCGACATTAATTCTAATGTGACATTAATGAAATGTCACATTAATAGCAAGCAATATCACATTAATGTAATTTTGACATCGCATGAATGCAATTTTGATTTTGCCGAACGAAAGAATGTGAGTTGCAACGAAAATGCAATAGAGTTGAAAATAGCATAATTGTTTTGACATAAATTACTTGGAACCTTCTTTACATGTAATTTTCGTGATAAATTGCATAATAACGCATTTCATAGCATAAAGATAACTACAATCGTGATCTTGATGATTAAGTATAATCTCGTCGGACTACAGCACACAAATTCATTTTGTTACAGGAAAACTTACGATAAAAATAATTTCTTCAAGAAAATAGTTTATCAAACATTATATGTGCAAGTTACATAATTTATTTTGAAGAAAAAATAATTTCAAAGATTCTATTATATAAAATAATCTCGATAAAGATTTTTCAATGTGTAATAATATATTTTTTATATATTTGATATTATATTTTAAATATATATATATATATATATATATATATATAAATTATATTTTTTATTTGTAATCAAATCCTGATTTAAATTTATTTTTAAATAATTTAAAAATATTAAAATCAGATACGTTTTATTCTTTATTAATCAAGAAATAAATTCTGAATTTGTTTGAAAAATACAAAAATTGAATAAAGATTTAAAATAAATAAATCATACAGAATTTATTGAAATTATGATTCGCAATGCGAAATTATATCGCATTATTTTAAAACCAAATTGAAAAGAGACCGATATAAAAGAAGAAAGTATTTTAAGTAGCCTTTACCAGCTGCACGTGACACTTTTTTCCCCTTTTAAGATTCTTTACCTTGATAATTTAAATATTCAAAAGTTTTCAGAGTTTCTGCCGCGGCAAAGAAATTCCAGAAAACGAAATTACGTAGTTGCATCGTGTAAAAATGGCCATCTGAAAACCGCGTCTATAAATATCTGTCCGACTGGCCCTTTCGGTGTTTTTTGCACACATCAAGAAAAGCGCCGGCCAGTTTGCTGATAGCTTGCAGTTGAGCCTTCAACAAGTTTATTTAGAGAATATTATCTCCCCGCAAAGATTTATAGATATTCTGGCACAAATATTCCACTAGTAAATATTTCAGTGGTGCAAATGCACGCAAATCGTAAGATCTCGAGATCCTCTTTCATCGACATCGACAAACTGAAAGGTCGACTGGCATCGAACATGTATCTGGCATATATTTGCATTGACTTATTATTATTACGGCAATTAACATTATTTTCCTAATTAAAAAAGCAAATTAAATTGCATTACTGACTGTTTTATAGGCTTTTATGTAGCTATTCTTTATAATTTTTTTTATTTATTTTGTTTCTATTATTTTATAAAGCTTTTTGAGATCATCTTATTTGAGAAAGTATCACAAGTACGCACAATTATTGTTTTGACCTAAAAGATTGTTATGAAATGATGACTGAATCAACTGTTATTTGTTTTGAAATCTATTCGTCAATTTTAAAATACGCAATCATATATTTCCTCCAAGTGACGTGAAAAGCGATATCGAAATTTAATTATTGACGTTTGATTCATCATTACCACTGACGTACGAAGCAAAATTTATGACATGTTGATTTTTTGATGACAAATATTGAACGAGAATATTAAAATAAAAATGAAAAAATAACAATATAAAAAAAGTATAAAACAAATAAGAGATATATTTAATATTGTATTTTTATTCATTTTTTGTGTAATTATTTTTATATATACGAAAATATATTCATACGACTGTAATCATATATAAAAGTAGTATTTAATATTAAATTTTGTAATTTAATAAAATTGTAATAAAATAATTTATTTTCTTGCTCTCGCAGTTTAAAAATATAAATATTGCTTCAGAGGAAAAAAACAAAAACAAATAATCAATAAATGTCAAAATTATTCATTATAAAATGTGCATATTACAATTACAGACATGTCATTCAGATTATAAAACTCAAATATTTTTATGTTAAGATTGTTCTACAGTTACGCTTTTGCGTTTTTTAATAGTCACATTTACTGTTTTATTTTATAAAAAATTAAAGATTTTGTTTATAATTTTTTGACCTGGAAATTATTTCCAAACATATTTTTTAATGGTGAAAATTCATATTGCATCAGCAAGTGGTCGCTATTTGTGTTTCATATTATTGCTGCTTTCGATTGGTTTTATGATGTTATTTTTGTATTATTACATACACCATATATTTTATTTTAATTGATTTACAATTGTCGTTTGACAAACACAAACTGTTTTTGAACAGTTGTCAAAATAGTTATCAAAGTTTGTAAAAGGAAAGTAATTTGTGTATTAAATATTAAAATATATTTCTGAATATTCTGTATATTATACACAATAAAGATATTAATTAATTAATTAATGTTTCATATTAATTAACAAATTTTATATAAATTTCAAATTAATAATTATTATATTAATTAAAGTTACTTCCGCCAAATAAATTATTAAAACAGTAAAAACGCTATATATAAATACTATAATGTGCGTCTGTAATTTGCAGTTATTGTGCAAATATTTAATATAATTAGTAGTACTCACATGCGTCTCCATGGCGGCTTCTTGGATTAAACTAGAGTCCGTGAGTTAATCCTCTTCTCGCAGCTGCGTTTCTCTTCCGACCCTCAGAATGATCCGTTCTGAAACATATCGCGCACTTTAAATATTAATTATTAGTCATTGTCGGTATTCCCAGTATATAACGGCGGGGGACCACGCTCTATTTTTCTCTCTATAATCACTTTACGTAGTTGTTGCCGTCATATTCCCACCAATTCTGTAATTTTTGCCATTTCGGAACGATTGTGTTTAGATTATTAATTTTGGCGTGCGAACCGTTAATTATTGCATGGTGCGCTTGTATAGCTGTTGTAATGAGCTGCACGGTAGAAAATACATCGATTATTCTTCCGTTCATATACGAAGAGAGAACACTTTGACACGGCTTTGGCAATATTACCGCGAAAATCGACTGTTATTACCGTGAATAATTCGATATATTGCGGTGGTGGGCTGTTTAACAACAATTTTGATGAAAGAATTCCCGCTTCATTGTTCGTCAGAACGATATATCGGTGATAAATATCGACTCGATGTAAAAGCGATCTTTCATACATCGATGTTTTGAGAAATAAACGTTAATGCGATCGTATAACATGAATATGATGTGCGCATGTTTCCCAATAAAATATGTATATAAATTGTTGATCATTCTCTTTCTCCTCTGTTTGTCAACAAAGTGGATTAATATTGTAAAAATTTCCTGCAAAAATAGAGAGAATATTTAATCATGCTATTTGTTATTATTCTATGAATACATATCAGCTGTGTAAAAGAATTCGACAGGAAAAAAAATAATCATTTAGAGGCTGGCTCGATGAAAGATCGAACGAAAGTTAATCAACGAAATCTCGAATTGACGATGATAGCCGGAATGACCGGACGCGCCCTTGTTTGTCATTTAATTAGCCGTGTATTAGTAGGTCAAACAACACCTCTTCTTCTTTCGCGATACTGCACCCTCCGTCTATTAATCCGGATACGATAATCATTAGTGGCAATCGATCAGCAACCGTAGATAACAGCCACGGAATTTCGCGAAATTTGTTCAATGAACGAACTGACAAGGGTATTGAAGGATCCATTACAAGATTATATACTGCGTCCACTGACATACTAATTCGATTCATGTAATAGATATAAGCTATCACACGAAAATAAATAAATTAAGGAATTAGAGTAAAGATCGTCATAAATAAAATAAAATAGAAAAATACTCATTTGGAAATGATTTTTATTTAAGTCCAATTTTATTTGGAACAGAGTTAAATATTTTATTTATTATTCGACAATTCACCTATATTAGAAATTTTATCTTTTTCTATTATTCAAAATTGTTCCTTTTCTTATTTTTAATATTTACGCAAATATGTATTGCATATGATTTATATATGCAATAGATTTGTTTGATTTTTATAATAAGAAAAGCAAATGATTTTTTTACGCTTTTTGCATATGTCTGGAAAAGTTAAATTATCGTTCATTTTATTTAAAAAGTATTTATCGAAATATTAATCTGATTCACATAATTGTATTATATTTTATGCAACAAAATAATACACATTGCAGTCTTTGAAAACTTGATATATTAAATGCGAACAATTTGTCGAACTGACGTAGTTAGATCGTACATTTGCTACATTCGTGAATTTATGATGGGAATATCGATTTAGCACATTTGCTGACGCGTTATGTCTTCAGCAAATTATAATGTGCATGAATGCACATCAACTTTACATAGTATATTAATGCGAGGTTATCAAGAGTCATCAGCGCTTGATTAAAAGCCTACCATAGAGAAGAATAACGAATCACGTGCAAGAGAGATTCAATTATGCATTTATTTAGTAGTGTTGAATTTATTAGTTCTGCGATTTTAAATGGCAAGGATACGCTAGTCGAACGTCGCATTTATTCCATGTATACATACGTGTCCAAATGGTTATCGCTGTAACATATCATTGACCATGATGTCGAGTTTGACAGGTTTGATAGAATCGAATTTATCTGACCCGACCAGGAGATGCAAGCTCAAACAATAGTTTACATACTGCATCTATATCTCAAATAATATTAAATAAAATTGTATTTTTTTTTTTTGACGAAATTTTTTACAATTTTTTCCAGCTTTATGTATAACAAAATAAACAGAGTATAATTAAAAAAAATTTTATCCACAGCCTAGAATGATTGATATATGAGAGAGCTAGAGATCTCTCTTTTTTTATTAACAGTATCTTTTTAAAAATACTAAACCTTTTCCGCGATCTACGATAATACGATCGAAGTCTTAGAGAGTATAAATAGTCGTATTTGAAAAAAAATTCGTATAACTACGCGTGTGCTTTTTTTGCGTCTTATCAGTCGGATGGTCACGCGCTTTTCGATCGCGATTGAAGAACATCAGCGCGTATTTGTACGATTGCGAGAGAGTCTCGAGAGGCTGTGTTCGAGTGCCACGAGCACTCAAGGGATGTTCCGAGGGAAACGAAAACATTCCACATCGGTTGGCGCACGTGTCTATATTAAATTAAAAACACCAGGCGCAATTGGCGCCGTGCGAACTATTGTACAATGATGATTAACAGACGTGAACGGTCAAACAATTAGAGGAAAAGCCGTATCGCGCCAAGACGGCGCTTAGAAAATCAATTATACCGTCCCGAGGATTATCCATGGCTTCTTAATCATTGAATGAGCCTGCGCGAAATTTTCTCGCGAAAACTGTTAAGAGCACTTTTTACGTAAAATATCGAGTCAGAAATAATGCGACATTTACATTTCGATTACGATAAGATTACGTCTCTCTTCTCATTTTTTAGATAAAGTGCTTTTTATATAATTATATAAATTTATATATATATATATATATATATATATATATATATATATATATATATATATATATATATATATATATAAATATATATGTTTCATATATAATTTGACATGATTATATGTATATGAACCTTTATAATTTATATATATAAATTTATATAATTATGTATAAAAATAGACATATTTCACATATAATTTTACGATTATATGTATAATTATATAATTATTTATATATACAATTATATATAAAAATTTTTTTCTGGGGTTATTTAGAAGCTTTTTGCATTTCTAGAAATAATTCTTAAATTATTGTTTTATTGTTAATACGGATGTCCAAAAATTTGTATTTCACTTTTAAAATTGAATTCCTTGTTTGACAAATTTTACTTTACTATTATTTTTTGAAATTTACAGTTGGAGAACATTTTTTTATCGGGAATATCATAATTAATTAAAAAGTAACTTCACGTAGTAAACATATGAAAAATAGAGGAAATAGCGCGAGTATATTGCATTTAATTAAATGCTGCAATCTGTGAGAAAGGCATAACAGAATGTAATACTCCATGGAATGCATATAGTTTCTGGCATTTCATCTCACTGCAAACATTTATACGCTTACAGGAATATAAAGAAAACATTAACTTTACAGTATTATAATACTTGTCTTTATCTTAATATTACAGATCGCAATTAAAGTTTTGGACCGAAAGTTGAAATCTAGCTTAAAGTCAGGTAATGTTTAAGAGTGGTTTAACTCCATCGCGTATTCCTTCTGCCCTACTTTGTGTCGTTAAATTTGCGGTATTTCGCTCGCTTTGTGCTTCATTTAATTTACGCGAAAATATCGACTTCCCTCGTGACAAAGTTTCCTTGCTTTGATGATAAAAGAGACAAAGACGTGCAACAATTCAACATAATCCCTTTAGCTTTAAGTGCTCACATTAGACGTATATATTCGGTGTTGTGTAATGAATCTCCGCGGACGTTTTGCCGGTATTTTCACAATAAAAAAATTTATTTTAGGAGCACGCAGAATAATCGAAAAAATATGACACAAAATGAAAAGAAAATATTTTATAATAATATATACTCTCTACCCATTAAAAAAATATATTTCGCAAGAACGATCAAAAAAATGTATCCGATAACTATACAAATTGGAAAAAAAAAATATTAGAAAATAACGTTTTTCTAAATAAAATCACGTAGATGATAGTACACATATAATATATGTATGCATATATTTTCGTATATTAGTCAGGGAGGTTCGGTTTATCAGAAGATGAAACGAATGTATTCTATTGTAAATCTATTCGTATACACAGTTCGTCGATTTTGGTATCATATATAGATATATATAGTAGTACTGCGATGCAGAAATCATAAGAAAACTTTATTGTGATATCTGAAATGATTTTTGTCATATAAAGCAATTTTTTGCGAACAATGTAAAAAGATAAATTGATAATGCAAATAAAAAAAACTCTAATGATGTAAAACTAAAATTCTTTACATTATTTCTTGCATCGATAAAATTTAAATTGTAAAGAGCTTTAAATATTCTTTAGATTAAAAAATTCTCTTTACATTATTATTTGTATCAATAAACTTTGAATATAAAAAAACCTTAAAGATTTCCCTTAACTTATGATTGAAAAATTATTGGCTTTTATATATTTTATTTTAAATATTAATTCGATTATTTCTGTATTTGTCACAAAATTATGATTGTAGAATATTATAAAAGAAATACTCATATTTTGAATTCTTCTGTGACTTTTCTCTCACCTCATCTACATACGAAATATTCGCGCGTAAATTAGAATGTCAACAAACACATTTTGCAAACTTTTCTGGTAATGTATGTCGATTTTCATTCTAATAAAATAATAATAATATATCTCTGTTTTTCTGCGCTTTAATATATGCTTTAAATTTTTTAAATTATAATTCAAATATATGCACATATCTATATAACAAATATGTATATAAATATGTACATAACAACCGTATCAGCTTATCATTTTTTAAAATCATTATTCAAACATGTACGGCGTTCAGAATTTGCATATTACAAATGCAGAAATAAAATTTTTATAATGTGGCAAATGGCAGACATTGAAAAGCACAACTTGTTGAACGTTGCAAAGTCCGGTCATATATGTATATATCATGAATTTCCATTCGCGCTGGTCGGTCAATCGGAATAAAACAAGCAATACGTGATCAAAGCATAGAA